TTGATCACGGTGATCTTTGAGAGCTGAATCATACAAATGTCTGTATTTACCAAGCCCCCACAATGCGGCTCAAAATTGAGGCCAACCCGGAAGTAACAAAATTGCAGTTCCACCCTCATCTGCTGGGGGGTGGTGTCAGAAGCGAGCAAATCCTCATTGACTCCCATGTTAAAAATACCAATTTCACAGCAGAAATAAACATGTTTACAGCCTGGTACCAAAACATGTTTTTGGTTTAAATGATCCAGTTTACACTCATGACAACTCTGAGGGGGGTGAATTTTTTTCTCACTCTTCTGTTTAAGTGTATTAAAAGCCTAAAATTCTGTATAATTAATGAGCGTCAGACCCACGTGACCACAGAGCTAGCTTCGGGGAAAGGCCTCAGTAGAGCCTCGGTCTGGCCTGGAAACTGTTCCGGGATTTTGAGTCTCTGTGTTTGTGTATTCTGTTTTGGATATTTTTTGTGCAATTGTTGGACAAAATGACTTGCTGTGGCATTAATTGCACTAATAGAGCGTCCAAGGAGTCTCCACTTCATTTTTTCCGGTAAGTAAAATTATATTTATGTATTTTAGGTCACTGCCAAGCTGAGCTTAGATTTTAACATGTACTGTTTAACCATGAAATTTAAATGTAATAGGGTAAAACCCAGTGCATTTAACATAATGCTGCACTTTAGAAAATGTTGGTGGAGCTGGGTTCCGACTATCGGCATGTGGAGCTCTCGGGAGACCGATGTTTTCCACCCGGTTCTCCCCTCCCCGCAGCTCGGCGCATCTCTGTCTGATCGCGGCTTCTGTCTGCTGCGCGGGCTGCCGGCTTGTGGAGCTCTCGGGAGACCTCTGTGTTTCACCCGGTTTTACCCAGCAGCGTACCTCTGACTCAGAAGCTCTGGTGTTGTGCACAGTTATTTCCGGTTGTAGCTAGGTTGCTACCTCCGTTAGCTTAGCTCCCACCTCCGCGTTAGCTTTGGGTTAGCTTCGGGTTAGCTTGTAGCTAGTTCGACCGGGTGTCGTCAGTTGATCCGAGCCTTACAGCCCCACCCTCAGCTCCTCCTCTCTTCCCTTTTATGGAATTGTCTGGGCTTGACGGAACCTGTGACACGGTCAAAATGGCGGTGGTGGCCACCTCCCATTTAGCCTCAAAAACGTGTTATTGGAGTCTATGGAACTGAATTGTCCAGTATATATGTTGATGGTATTTACAAACCTCTGCCATACTAGTTCTTGCCAGTCCGCCATGTTTTTCCGTGTCCTTCCTTGTGGTTAGAAAATTTCCTAGGTGCGCGGTGCGGAAAGTTTGGGCCGTGCGGAGGCGCGGTGGAGGGGTATGGTTGTTAAAATGACGCAACTTTTCCGCGTGGAGCCGTGCGAACCTCACGTACGCGTCAAGCATAAACCAACCTTAACACCTATGATAAAGCTGCTTTTCAGGTGTAGAAAACAAGTCCTACTCATACACAGACTTGAGTGTGGTGTGTTGGACAGTGGGTGGGATTGTGAACTGTGTTGACAAAACTTGGGAATACGAAGGACAGTTTACTACAAGAACCTTTGGCTTGAACAAACAAGACAAGATGCCTAAAGGCTACACTGCTGCCAAGGCTTTGGCTCTGCTGCAAAATATGGGTTCTTGTGATTCAGATGGGGGAAGAATCCATTCTTTTGCAAGAGAGTTCTGACTAGTCTTCAGATGATGAGTTGTGTTCCACGTCAGAGAGCAGAACTCCTCCAAAGAAGAAAGGTCGACTGGAGACACAGACAGGCAACATTTTGGAACTTGAAATGTTAGAATCTTTGAATGAATTGTCACTACACCACCGATTCACATGTAACTGCCACATTGACAGAACAAAGGCAACCATCCACAAGTGATTAAGAATCCTAGATAACAGTCCAGTCAAAGGATAACTCTCTGGTAAAGATGGGCGATCTCGTCAAATGACAAGTCTCTGGGAGTTCTAGTGTTAAGAAGCTGTACCACCTTGAGTCACGTAAAAATAAAAACGGATGAAAGCGGACGGACGCAGCAGGGGGAGTGGCTGAACGTCGCGTTTAAGTCGGAAAAATTTCCCTACATGTAGCTCGCGGCTGACGATGGATGAAGATATCGCGTTAAGAGTTCATGCTTTTTTTAATTTTTAATTTTAATTCTGGTGCCTGTTAGCAACCGAAACACATCCTCACATGCTTGTGGATATATATTGTTTATGAAGATATGACTGTAATAAGTAAAGGTTATCAGCTGCAGTTTTAGTGTTCTCATAGAAAACGTGAGAAAAGGACACAAAACACACTTCTTTGTTTGGCCTATATAGTTGTCATCATCAACGTAACATGATTTACAGAATACATGTGACCAACTAACATTTCATGTTCTACCACCTGATGTTTGAATCAAAATGTGAACAAGATCTTAGATCCGGTGAGCCAGGCGTTTCTTGTCATCCCCTAGGTTTTGCAGCCGGTGGAGAGCAGCTGCAGCGCCTTGCTTCAAAATCTGCGTCCGCCTTGATCTCACGAGGATATCGTTGCCTACGTATGCATGACGTCGGAACAAGTCGGCGTCAAGTCGGACACAAATCTAACCGGCATGCACTACGCGCCGATCACCTGTGATCTAATCTGCGCCAAACTGGCTCATCTCAAATGGCCAAAGTGACTCAAAGTAATACATGTGACAGCCCCATCTAGTGGACAACTTTTGTTTCTGCGCATACCTGTAGTTATCGTCAATTTATCGTTACCGAGGTGAAATCCTCAGTTTATCGTGATATTAGTTTTAGGCCTTATCGCCCAGCCCTAATGAACAAAAAGCAACGTCTAGTGTGTGGAGGTTGTAGTTGCAACAATAGAACCAGGTTTGCTGCCGATACGTGAGATTTTTTATTTGGGTCCGTCTGTTGTAGGCTTCACCTAAACTCACTCTGGTTTTAGATCAGTTATGGTCGCTTCTCTTCTGAGAAAGATAACGACATCTTCTGGTCTCAGAAGCAGCTGCTTGATTCGCCAACCCCACCAGCCTAGCTGTGCAAAGCGGACTGCACGGCTACCTGCACCAGTAGAAGAAGAAGAAGAAAATATCATTTCTATAGCGCCTCTCAAGATAAAAATCACGAGGCGCTTCACAAAAACAAAAACTATAAAAAATATTTAAAAAAGCATTTAGAAAATGTTTAAAATATATTTAAAATGAGCAAAAATAGACAATTGTGATTAAAAATGTAAAGAAAGAGAGAGTGTGAATAGATAAGGGTGAAATCAGTGGATCCTGAGGAAGGTGGAATAGGTGGGGAGAGCAGAATAAAGAGAGTGGGGTTGAAGAAGGTCACACAAAAGCCTGCTTGAACAAGTGAGTCTTCAGCTGCTTTTTGAAGGAGTCCACTGAGTCCACTGATCTCAGGCTCAAGCCTGATTCATGCTTCTCCGTCAGTTCCACAAGGGACAGACACGCACGGATTGACGGAAGCGTTTTGCTCTCATACTTCTCCGTCTCCTGGAGAGTGTTGCAAAGCAATTCCCCACCAGGACAGCAGAGGGCGTAGCGCTGTTCTGTGGTATCCTGTCATGTATCGGTCCAAGATAATGTGTTTATATTGTGTTTTTTTGTATATAAGAGACTTTTAACACGGACATGTCTCTCATCCGCCTCCACCTCTTCATGCGCTCGCCACCTCTAAACCCACGTTTCCTGTCATTCCCGTCCACAAATAAAACGCTTGCTGCGCATCTTTTCACTCCTCCAGTCACGAGGAATTAAACGTTCATGTTTTTAGAGTTTTTCACGAGGTATTCTTCAAGCTGCTCCGTGTCTGCCGCTATCCTCGGCTCTCTTTATGTTTTTGAGGGCGCAATGGCGGTGCTGTAGACAACAGCAGCGTCCTGACCAATCACAAGCTTGCGTTGTCCGTCTCGACTGACGGATGTTTAGAAAAGAAAGCTCGACTCCGTCCGTCCTTGCGGAGCTCTCCGGCAGGCCCGCAAGGACGCTGCGTGTCTCCGCACTGACGCAGACGGAGAAGAATGAATCAGGCTTCAGGGGGAGAGAGGTCCAGAGTCTGGGGACCACAGCAGCAAATGATCTATCACCTTTGGTCTTTATCTCGGTGCCCTCTTTTGGCTGGTAGATGTAAACTAAACTCTGCGTCGTGCCATCAAAATAAATATTTAATAATTATTTTATTTTTTTTTAGAATTAAAGCTTTTAAAGGAAATACGGTACCTTCATTCTGCACTCCTCTAAACGAGGAATTAATTTTTAAAAATGGCTTTCTATTAAATTGTTCCATATTCAACCTTTTGCAGCATTTTTGGATGTTGAATATGATTGAAATGAAAGGGGAAATATTTATGCACTCAGATTAATTTTTTTTTTCTTTCTCCGTTTTATTGAAAAACCTTTTAGGACCGTCTCCAGAGATGTGTCGGATTGTGCAGAAGATGAGGACAATGAGGTGGATGAGAAAATGAACAAACTACTTGAAATGTTTCCTCAGTTGAAAAGAACTGACTTATTGGAGGTGAGATTATTTAAATCTGTGGCTTTTACGTTATTTTCATTACAGGTCTACAAAATCTATGTAAGCTTTCTATATCACAGTATTGGACTCTAAATTGGAGGATAAATGTTACTTTAGCTACTAATCAGTTCTAAATATGCTTATTTATTTTTACCTGTACAGTGAACTTCTTTGTGTTCTTTAGGTCATTGGGAGTACGACCACACTGGAAGGAGCTGTAGCTGTCTGCCTTTTAAAATATGGTGATAAAGAAGGTAACACTTGTTTTTCTGTTTTTTTAAAGCGCACTGAATATGTTCCCTGTGTAGCATTTTATTACAAAGCAAGGATGCTTCTCTAAAAATCAAAACAGTCCCAAATTGAACAGTAGCTGGATTTTCTTAATTGTTAATAAACTTAACAAATCTAGCTTTTCAGAGGAGCAAAGAAAACTTGAAATCTTTTTTTTTGGGGGGGGGGGGGGGGGGGGTCACTTAAAGGACACAGGTCTTAAATGAACTTAAATCAGAATCAGAATGAATTTTATTGCCAGCGCTCCAGATCAGAGCATAGGAACTTGACTCCATAGTACAACCTGACCAAGGTTACACACACACATATAGACAGGACAGATACAGGCAGACCATGGGAGCAGCCATGACGGCGCTCCTTTTGTAGATGAGTGAGGGAATACGTGAGGAAAGTTCAGGGGAGGGAGAAGAAAGGCATTAACAGGGTTACACCGGCAGGGTGTAGCATTCTTAATGCAAAAAAAAAAAAGTATTATACATAAGAATTATTCAGTAAAGTGATCACAGAACAGTCTGTCTTCATCATGTTAGAAGAAAAGTGTTAGCAGAATCATCAATCTCATCTCACTGACGGAGGAAATAACACAGCCACATCACTCCTTCGCGTCTCAATCAGGGAACACCTGGTTTATTTTGTCACGTGCCTTTTATGCGTCACTGACAGCGATCTCATTAGTGAAATTACACATGACATTAGTTAACAAAAAATAAAGATATACATACAGAGATAAAACAAATGAGAACACAAGCATATGTAATATAAATCAATATTAAATCATGACCTTTTGTAGATCTCAGTTCTTAACACCCCCACTTGTTCTCACTTTGTCTTTTATTCCTGACTTCCCTTATTTTCCAAACATTATGTTTTCATATTTCTTCAATGCTGTTTTTGTTGCTGGTTTTGTCATTCCGTCTGCTACCATCTGATCAGTTTGGCAATATTGTAACATCACTTTGCCATCGTTCACACATGATCTTATAAAATGGTATTTTATATCTATGTGTTTGCATCTCTGCCTGCTGACGGGGTTCTTTGCTAAAGCAATGGTATTTTATATCTATATATATGTCGTAATCTATTGGTGAATGAAGATAAGCTGTCTTGACGTCCATCTGGTGTAAAATGAGGTTCTCCTGTACAGCACACTGCATCAGTACCCTCACGCTTGTTAGACTAGCTGTTGGGGAAAATGTATCATCATAATCTAGTCCAGCTCTTTGACCGTAACCTTTTGCTACATACCCAGCCTTGTATCTTTCTGATCCGTCGTCATTTTTCTTCAGAACATATACCCATCTACCCCCCACTGCTTTCTTGCCCTTTGGTAAGTCAGTCAGGGTATAGGTGTCATTCTCTAATAAAGAATGCATCTCTTCATCCATTGCTGCCTTCCATTTATCAGAATTTGGGGACTCTATAGCATCGTTGTATGTAATGGGCATACCACATGTTGCTCTGTAACAGTAGTCGATATATGCTCCTTGATCATCATTATCCTCCCCTTTTGATACATAGTCTTTTAAATATTCTGGTTTCTTTCTCGTCCTTTCTGGATACCTTCTGTTTGTTCCTGCTGCCTGGTTTGTGTCTGGATTTTGTTTCCATTTTTCTTCAGAAGTTTCACCATCAGATTCATCCTTGTGAGAGGATGACGTTTTCACCACTCGAGGTCGTGAGACAGTTGGTATGTCATCCTCCTCAGGGATAAGAACTGTTTGTGTCTGCCTCTCTTCAACATTTTTGCTTACAAACTTTACCAGTCTAACTTTCTGCACACTCTTGTTCAAAGGAAAGTAAATGAGATATGCAGGACTGTATTTGTCATAGCCAATGAATATTCCTTTAGTACATCTTGAGTCCAACTTTGTTTTGTTTTGCCTGTAAGCAAAACATGCACAACCAAACTTTTGCATAGTAGAAATGTTGGGTTTGCATCCTGTTAGTAAGAAGTAGGGTGTTTGTTCAGTACGACGACTGAAACATCTGTTCCTGATCACAGCTGCGGTCTGGATTGCATATGTCCATAAGTACTTGGGTAAACCGCTCTCAATGAGCATGCACCTCCCCATATCAAAAAGGGTGCGCCAATTCCGCTCTACAGTACCATTTTGATGGGGGGAATATGGCGCTGAAGTTTCATGTCTGATCTTATGTTTACTCAGTAAATCTTGGTACCTTCTGCACATAAACTCTGTCCCATTATCAGACCTAATGCATTTAACATCACCATATGAGGCTGTGTCCGCTAGGAACTTCTCGGTTGCTTGCACCGTATCACTTTTGTTTCTCAGAAAATACACAAAAATAGCACTTGAGTAATCATCCACAAATGATAGTGCATATTTATGACCATCCTTAGATGCTGGACTTATTGGACCGGCCAGATCTGTGTGCACTAGTTCAAGAGGTTTATTAGCCCTTCTGTCTGGTTTTCTATTTCTGTATTGAACAAATTTACCTTGGATACATACTTCACACTTTACTTCTTTTCCCAGTTTGCCTTTGATTTTCATGCCATCAACTACATTCTCCAGCTTTTGTAAATCATCATGATTGCAGTGACCTAGAATTTCATGCCACGTTTGTATGTCCAAGCACTTAGCACATTTATCAGTGTATTCAGTAACAGTTTCAATGTAATACAGTCTGTTGTGCTCATATATGTTAAACTCAGTACCATCTTTGTGTTTTAGTCTGTTTCTACCTGTTTTGAAGACGATAGTTGCTCCATTTTCTGTTGCAGCTCTCACAGAAAAGATGTTCTGCGGGAAAGATGGGATGTACAATGCCTCTTTCAATGTTACTTGACATTGTTGCCCTCTGCTGTCGATCAGGTACACCACAGCGTCTCCTCTACCTTCAGCAACTCCTTTACATCTGCTGCCATCAGCCAGCTCCACACAGTGTGTCCCACCATGGAAATTGTTGTCAAACTTCTTAAAAGCACTGATGTCTGTGATGATGTGTGACGTAGCACCAGTATCCACCATCAAACCTTTAATCTCAATCTCCTTCCCAATTCCAGGATTCGCGTTGTCTGTCTTTAGCTTGAAAGCATAAGTGTTGTCTTGGGTCCTGTCGTCGTCATCCTCACGAGCTATGCGTACCTCATCACCTCGTTGATTCCTCCGGCACGTCGCGTCTCGGTGAGTGTTGCTCCTGCATCGGCTGCACCACTGCTTCTGACGACACGTTCTGGCCTTATGTCCTTGTCGGCCACACTTAAAACAGGTCACTCCGGTCACTGTGTCTCCTCTTCGATTTGCAACAGCTGCTGCCGTGTGTCGAGACTCATTGTAATTTGGTCTCGCCTTCATGACGTTGTCATGTTCTTCCTTGCGCATTTTCTCTGTATCCTCAAAACTACGTAGCTTGCTCTTGAAGTCAGCAAACTTAACATCCGAGTCACTTTGCATTATATGCACAGAGAATGGCTTATATGTCTCTGGTAATCCTTTTAAAATCATAGCTACCAGCAGCCCATCACTTAGTGTCTCTCCTGCGTTTCTTAAAGCAGTAATTGTAGTCTCCGCTCGTAGGATATATTCCGTTACACTTTCATCATGCGTCTTCTGAAGAGAAGTTAAGTCAGTATAAAGACCGATGATCCTGGGTTTACCTTTGCCAGCGTAGTGGTCCCTCAATATCAGTAGTGCTGCGCGGCCATCGTCAGCTGCGTCTCTCATCACGAGAGACAGGCTCTTGTCGTCCAGGAATTGGATCAATTCTGCGTACGCTTCCGCGTTCTTATTCTCATCATCGGAATCAGCTTCACCTTCATCGGTGCTCAATATAGTGTCTTTTAGTCCTTGTAATCTTAAGTGGCCTAGGAATTTGGTTTCCCACAACTCGTATTTCTGCTCATCTCCGTCAAATGCCAATCTTGCCCACCTGCTTCCGGATTCCATCACTCGCCGGCTCATGGTGTAGGCTGACAGCGGCTCACCAAAGGTGATCGTTCCTCTTAATGTGTCTGCGGGAATCCTTCGGTTAGGCTCCTTTTACCGATTAGACTGGGCCCATAACCTGTTAGCAGAATCATCAATCTCATCTCACTGACGGAGGAAATAACACAGCCACATCACTCCTTCGCGTCTCAATCAGGGAACACCTGGTTTATTTTGTCACGTGCCTTTTATGCGTCACTGACAGCGATCTCATTAGTGAAATTACACATGACATTAGTTAACAAAAAATAAAGATATACATACAGAGATAAAACAAATGAGAACACAAGCATATGTAATATAAATCAATATTAAATCATGACCTTTTGTAGATCTCAGTTCTTAACAAAAAGTTTATTTGAAACAGATTTTCATCTCAGCCTACTGAGGTGTTGCCAGTTTTTTCCTTTCAAAAAAGCCAAAGAGGGACGTTGTTTACAATATTTACAATCATTGAGGCAGTGAGGTTGCCTAGTTATTGTTTTGTAAAGATCCTAAAGCCGGGCGTACACTGTGCGACTTTTTCACTCGTAGCACTCAGCTTCAGCTCAAACTGTACGACTTCCTCGCAACGCAGATCTCACGAGTCATGTGCTCACACTGTACGACCCAGTTCTCGGATGTGACCTGACTGCTCACACTGTACGTCTGGTAGCAACACGTCGGCCCTAAAAATATGCTAAAAATAGCAGTTTTTACACAACACGTCAGACTTTTTTGTCTTGTTTTGCCTGTTGTCCTTCGGGAGTGCTGCAGGAGGACACACAGGGATTTATGGGGGTTGGATGAGGAAAACGAAATAAAGAAAGTAAATCTGTGTTTTGTGATCAGTTTAATTTGACACGAACACGACAAACACGCTTTCTTGACAATCTTTGTGAGTAAAAAAACGTGTAGAAATAAAAACGAACAATGTGTGTTATTAGGGAGATAGCGGGTGAGCGGTGTTGATGCAGGATTGCGCATGCGCCGTGAGCGGTTCTGATACTTTTTGGGTCGCAGCTGCTCGCAGCGCCGCTTCAACAGTGCGATACCCTCACGAGGGACGAGCAAAATATCAAGCACACCAGAAGTCCGTGCGAGCTCACGATTGCTGGTAGCTGGTCACGTGGTGTTAATCGCCTCTCGTAACCCCCCTGTACACTACACGACGCACAGCGCAAAACTCGCCCCGATCTCGTGGATTCTCACACGAGTGGAAAATCGACTCAAAAAAGTGAAAAAGTCGCACAGTGTATGCCCGGCTTAAGCCAGTAAACAGGAGCAACCCAGAAGTTACTCCTTGGATCCCCTGAACCGGCATTGTTTTGCTCTAATATTGGGTTAAAAGGCTAGAAGTTAACGTTAAGCTAACAGTGCTAGCGGTGAATTAGAAGCAAATAGTCAGGTTTAAAAATATCTCAAGCTACATTTTCAACTAACAAAAAACTCAGTATTGCAATGAAATGTATTTCTAGTTTTTGAGTTGTGTATGACTCATCTTTGCTTGTCATCTAGAATATTCCAGCAATGATCCATAAATGGCAACAGCCATCAAAACTGTGGAACAGGAGTGAGATAGTGACCTGTGTTTAGAAAAAGGCTGCAGTACCCAAATCTGACCATAGGATGTCATTCTTCATTCTTATACATCATTCACTTTAAAAAATAAAAAACAGGTTACCGCTGACTGCTTTTGTCAGTTTTTGTTGCGACAACACTGGATATTTTGTCTCATCAGCTCTGAGTAATGACAGGAAGAGAAAGCAGGATGGATCCAGCTGTTCTCAGGATAGTGGGGAGATTCAACCCAGCAAGAAAAGGAAACCATCTCTGGTAATATCATACATTTTTCTATTTCGTTTAAAAAACGTGTTTTTTCTCTTGTGGTTCACATTTTTGTCGTTAAAAACCTGAAATGAGAATAATCACGTATTTTAAAGGTCTCCTGTAAAGAAGAAACAGAGGTTAAAGAACCACATTGGGAGAAGAAAGAGGCCATGGTGAGAAGACTCCAGAAGCGGTTTCCGGACCAGGATAAGGAGGTTAAGATATGGAGCGTCTCTAACTTGATCATACTTTAGTATAGGGACTAAATTAAAGACCAAGTTCACCGAGAAACAGATCGTTTTACTTCTTATTTTTGAAATGAAGATTTGTCATTGAGTGTCACATGCAAGCTGAACTTTATTAGTCTTCTACATGAATTTCCTGCATTAGCTGCTGATGGAAAATAGACGAGGAAAGGCTTGGTCAGAAAACGCCACACAGGTCAACGTCACGCTGAAAATTATCATTCATGGATTCACTCATCTTGGCTCACGTCGGGGAAGACCGTTAGTTTAACGTCCAGGAAACAGCAGAGCGCGTCTGCTAGTAGAAGCTAATTGTTAGCATTAGCAACTCCACAACACAGCAGAACTTTTTCAGACTTGTGCTATTTGTGGAAATAACACAAAGCAAAGCAAACAGAGTCAGTGGTAGTCCCATTCCTGTCAGCCAATCAGAGGTGAGGTGTCCGAATATCAGGAAGTAAGACTGCAAAACCGTTTTTCTGCTCTCTTTTTCTCTGGGTAACTTCTACTTCTTGGAACAGGAACATCAGACCGTTTTCCCCACAGAGATTAACTCACAAGGCATTTATTTATCCTAAAGACCGCTGCTAATGTGTCAAAAAATGAGTGATTTTGGTCTTTAGCCATCAAACTCATGCTTTTTGATAGAGGCTGCCCGATGCATACATTTTTTTCTTCATCGGCCAAAATTATTTTTAAAGCCCATCTAAAAATAAATAAATAAATAACAGGCACCTGTGTGGCCAACTGCCGCCACTACTAGACTTAAGAAAAGACCCGAAGGACCCCCACTCCCCCCCACCCAACCCACTGTTTGTTTAATGTTCAATAAATATTAAGAGGTTTATTGACTTATTTCACACAGTGAGTGTTCAGTTATCTTTCACAATCAATGTGCTGCTAAAACGTGTATATATATGTGTATGTATATGTATATAAATATATATACATATACATATATATGTATATATATTTATATGTATATACATATAAATGTATATATATATATATATATGTATATGCATATATATACATATATATGCATATATATAGATATATATATATGTATATATATGCATATATATATATACGTATATATATATGCATATGCATATATATATATATATATATAGGCTTTAGATATCGGTCATCAGCAATTAAATTCTTTAAAAATCTGCATCGGGCTTAAAGAAAACATATCGGCCGGCTTCTACTTTTTGATAGATGAGTTGTTTCTAGTCTAGAAGGTGTTCACTGACCGAGGCTTACATTAATTTTTTGGGCGTAGGAGTTGCGGCTGGTGCTTAAAGAACACGACTGGAATGTTGAAGAGTCTTTGCTGGTCCTGCAAATGTTCTCAGACACAGGTGCTGCAAAATCTTCTTGTCTGAATTTTGCTATCTTGTCATTTATGTCTCATTTATTTGTAATTTCTCTTTTTATTATTTGACAGAAAATAGTTCCAGCTCAGTTGATTCAGAGGAATCTTCATCTAAACGCAGCAAGTTGACTAATTTGCGGGACCAAAATTCTAAAGATGATAAAAATAGTGAAGATTTTAAAGATCATGAAGATGTCAGTGCATCAGACGGAAACAGTGGAAATGACACTGATGTAACAAAGGACAGCGAAGATGAATCTGAGTCAGACAACCACAAAAGTTCAAAAAACAGCATTCTGTCATTTTATGCAAAAAAATCAGATTCAGCTCCTTCATCCTCTTTTGAAAAGCAGAGACAGACTTCTTCTTCTGTGAAGCCTTCCTCATCATCGTCAGCCGCTCAGGTTTTGTCTAGATTTGCGAGCGAGACCAGTATAGCTAAGAAGCAGGCAGAGGAGAGAAAAAGGAAGGCACAAGCCGCCAATAAGCACATCAGTTCTGATGAAGAGGATAGTGGTGAAGAGGACGCCGTGTCGAGCGAGTATGACGATTCCGATGATGAGCTGGATGCTAAAGAAGGCGCGATGGACGCAAAGACTGCGATAGTCACTTTTTTTCAAGATGCTTCTCTAGATGAGCTCTCCTTGATTTCTGGTTGTTCAATAAAAAAGGCCCAGAAGATCGTGGAAATGAGGCCGTATGACAGCTGGGAAAGCTTGGTGAGGTTTTTTATTTTTATGTTTTTTTTTACCACAAGTAAATCGTTTATACATCATTCACGTTTTGTTCCTTAAAACGTTTTAGTTTACTAAATTATCAGTTTAATGTAAAAATGAAAAATATTTCTCTGTTTATATGAGTAATTGATACAGGAATGCATGAATTCCATTCCTTTCTGTTCCTCCTCAGTGGGAAGTCTTCCATAAAGAAAACGGACTTTCAGAAAATTTGGTGTCAGGTTGTAAAGTTGTCCTCAGGGAGCGAAGGGTAGTCCTGGGGCTCATGTCCAAATGTGAGACCATTTCTTCAAAAATGATTCAACGGGTCACGAAGGTGATGGAGAGTGGGTCAGGATCCGTGAAAGCGCCCAGCATACTCAACAGTCAGTGAGTAAAATCCTTCATATGTTGTGTTGTCACAGCACTGCAAAAAATATACAGAATTTTACCTGTAGAAATGTTGGACAGTGTCATGCATTTTATTGTGAAAATCCAAGTAGTAATCCTAGGCTGGTAATTTATTTTGTCTCAGGTTAGAGATGAAACCATACCAGTTGATTGGTCTGAAGTGGCTGTTGCTCCTGCATGAACACAACCTGAGCGCCATCCTCGCTGATGAAATGGTAAGGCAGCCATGTGAAAGCCTGTAGGATAGGTAGTACTTCAATTCAAACAATTCCAGGAAGCGGCTTTGTATTTAAAGAGCAAGTCACCCCCAAATCAACTTTTTTTTGCTGACAAACTATATAAACAAGTGTCTAATTATGCTATAGACATGTGCAGTCGGTAAATTGGCACTTAGTGCATCTTAGTTAAAATTTAAATATTCTGCCTAAAACTGTCAGTGTTGCGCCCTCTTCAGGTAAAAACTCTGCACTGCATTTGATTTTAAATCTGCCATTGTTATTGGCTACAGGAACACCATGATGTTAGCTGGTACATTATGATGTCACAATGTTGTTGTGAGCCTGTGTGTGTGTGTATTTGTTAGCAACTCCACCCTCTCGGTCTGCCAGGAAACAGCATTTGTTGCATTTTTCAAACAGGAAGTGGGAGTGGAGTAAGACTCTGGCAGGGTTTGACTTGCTCTTTAATAAAGCTTGTTTAGAGCCACATTTCCGGTGCGGAGCAGGTGACCGTCGGCGGTGTTGAATGTTATGGATCTTGGGGGTGGGCGATATAGCCTAAAATCTATATTGCGATATAATTTGAAAAATGTGCGGTAACGGTAAATATTGCAATATATGACTTTCTTTTGTATATATGTCAAAAACGACTGTTTCTAAACATACCCACATACCAGATACCACAAGTCCGTCGTAGATGCATAGTGTGTTATTCCTCGGAGTTCTTGCTTTACTTGCTCGCGGACTTTCTCGTGCAGTTTTGGCATCTCTGTTTGGCTGAAGTGTTTGCGGCTCGGTACCTCGTAACGTGGATCGAGTGTCTTAATCATGTCCCGAAAGCCGCTTTTCTCCACTGTAAGAAACGGCACCATGTCCTTACACAGGTACGTGGTAATGGCGTTTGTAATATCAATCCACCGTTGATTATTTCTCTCATACTGAGTGCCTTTAGCAAATGCTTGTAAAATATCCGTCTGCTGGTGTGTAAGACCACCTTTTTTCTTACCGCTCGACTGACTGGGCGTTTTTTGAGGACGCAGTTTTTGGCTTTCTTCGTATTCCACAACGTGCTTCGTTTTGAGGTGGTAAAACAAATTAGATGTATTCCCTCTATTCGTTAATACTTTATTCTGGCATACTTTGCAGATTATATGGTTCTGCTCCACATCCGACTCCTTAAAGCCAAACCAAGTCCAAATGACCGATGTTGCACCGGTCTTCTTTATGAGAACCTCCTCCACCACAGGCTCCATGCTTTCAGCCTCAACAGACGCCGCTTGATGACGTCGTCAACATGCGCTACCGGCCAAATTAATATCATTTCTACCGTATACCGCCCACCCCTAATGGGTCTGCAATTTTCATGCGAGCAATTCTATCGCAGTTTGGGCTCTCATGTCAGGAGGCGGAGTTATATGAACCTTCATGCGAAATTGTTATAAATAAGTATTTTTGTGCTACAATAAATAGTCTGCAGAGCTAAAGACAAAAACAAAATGGTTACCGCTGGCTTTTTGACTCGTTTTTCTTTTACTCCTTTCAGGGTTTGGGGAAAACCATCCAGGCTATAGCATTTCTGGCCCAGCTGTATGAAAATGGTATACAAGGTCCTCATCTCATCACTGTGCCTTCCTCTACTCTGGGTATGGACCTTCAAAAATAACTGTTTGTCTCACACTGTATGTGATAATGTAGCAAACAGTGCTATGTAAGGTTGGGAGATGTATAAAAAATGTTCAGAGGAAGTCCCAAAAAAGTGACTATGGGTGCCGTAAAGCTTTTTGTGGACCTGACACACAGCACAGACTGTATGCAGCGAGCCACCAATCACAATCATTCTTACTTAGATTGCAGAAGAAGGCCACAAAAGGTCCTCCCGTTAAAGATAGTTGGATCAAATTGTATTGAATCAATAGAGGGTAAATACAACCATGTATACACACAAACAGAGGGACACAGTGCCGTGTCGAAAGGAACTGTCACCACTACTTCGACCAGGCTCTCTGTGTGGACTTGCCGACTGTGTACGTTGATGGCAGTTCCTTTCGACACGGCACTGAACCTCGTTTAGGCATGGGTGTTGTTTGGCTACATGCCAACCGGAAAGACTCTGAGTGTTACCAGTTAGGTCCTAAGACCTCACAGTTTGCTGAAGTGGCTGGGATCTTGATAGTGCTACAACTCGCTGCTGACCGTGGTGTCCGCAAGCTGGTGATCTGCACTGACTCGGACTACGCGCGTCTCAGTTTCATTTGTCATCTACCTTCTTGGAAAAGTAACGGGTTCTTACCTCTAACCGGAAGCCCGTTAAACATCAGGACCTCTTCATGGCTTGTGATGCCTTAGTGACATCATGACATGCAGATCTATTGGTGTTCGGTCAAAGGACATTCTCGTGCGAATGTCCTTTGACCTCACGCCATTTACCATAGTTGTTCATTTTTCATTGGCTGGTTGATCTGTAAGTCAACAATATTACTGTGCTGCAATTGGTTAGACCCACACATGAGAATAAGGGGCAACACTTCTGACCGATCAGCCAATTGTTGATTTAGCCACAGAAGATGGGGTAGTAGCGATGGGTTCCGAATTCGGTACTTTTTAAGGTACTGACCGAATGCCATAGTACCGACAGAGCACCGGTTCACATCATTTGAAATGGTGCCTCGTTTCGGTGCCCGTCCTTCATAATGAGAACTTGCCTAGACAGCTGCGCATGCACAAGAGCGATACGTTGGTCGCTGTGAGCCAGTTGTAAACAGAGCAGCACGGTAGAAAGAACGCACGCTAAAGCTTGGGTCCTCTTCACTAAATGTGATGGGTAACTGGGTGATGATGAAACCAGCGACAACGATCTAAGTGAGACATCCTCATCTTAATCTGCTCCGGTAGGTAAATAAAATGTTTAAGATCACGTTAGCTTGATATTTTAGCTTCCGTTTCGCTAATGGTGCGTTCGCTTTCTCCTCGGAACTCCAAATCTTCGGCTAGAAGAACATGAACGTGCTCTAAAGTTTGGCTTCACTTTACTAAATGCGACGGGTGATTGGGTGAAGATGAAACCTGAGACAACGATCTAAGTGTGAGGCATCATCGTTTTAATCTGCTCCAGCAGCTAAATAAACTGTTTAAGATAACGTTAGCTTGATAAATTAGCTTCCATTGCCACCATTGTTATCAGCTAATGGTGCGTTCGCTTTCTCCTCGGAAATTCTAACTTCCCAGTAGGAAATATTAAATGAAAAAGGACGGTAAAAGGAATGAAGATACACAGTAAATTTAGTTCACAGTAAAGGTGTTTGCTTCAGTTTAATTATCAGCTTATAAAACTACAAGGACGATGTTAAAATACAAACAGTTGTATGTTATCGTGATATTTATCAAATATGGTTATATATTGAGAAAATATATATTTAATTATAAAAGAGAATTAAAATATTAAACACTCAAAAGTATCAAAAGTTGGTACCGTTAAGTACCGGTATCGATTCCTAGGTACCAGGAATTAGTACCAGATCGATTCACATGTCAAAGATACCCATCCCTATGGGGTAGCCCTTCACCTGTTGGGTCGGGTTAGGTGTAGCCCAAACGTTTAAAACTAATATGATGATGGTAACAGAGATTGTGGTAAGAGAGATGTTATCTGGAGGAAACTTTTTATGCTTTCTTTGGTATTTCAAGTTTGATTGTGTTGCATCTGAGCAGTCCCCCACTCCAGTACGACTTACAAGACCATCATTCCTACTAGAGGCCACTGCAAACATGCTGATTAAACGAGTCAGCCATGTTTTAAAGAGGGTACAAGTGTGTTTCTTTAGGGTATTATCTTTGTAAAGCTGCCTGTAAAATGATATTGTGTTTTTTTTTTCTCCATCCTTTAGATAACTGGGTTAGAGAGCTCAAGTTGTGGTGTCCAAGCCTTGAAGTCCTTATTTATTATGGTAATCCTCACTCATTTATTTTCTCCTCCGTTCAGTAGACATCATTGTGTTTTACTGCTCGCAGAGGCTTCACTAAATTACTGCTAGATGCCAACATGAAGTATTTTCTAAAGATGGATCTCAGACTAGAATTAACTATCACATGTACCGTTTTAAACAGGTTCTGTGGAAGAGCGACGCTACCTCAAACATGACATCCTCTCTGGGGAAATTTCATTCAACGTCATCGTGACCACGTACGCAAACACCATAAACATGTCGCCATAAAAATGTTTTTGCGTTTATTAAGTTGGCGCTGTTGACTTTGAGAGCACAGTGAACATGATGCAACTCCTGCTAAACATTTCTTGTGTGTGACTGATAGGTATAGCTTGGCCATCGGTAACGACAGCGACCGCAGCCTTTTCCGGAAGCTGCAACTGCAGTACGCCATATTTGATGAAGGCCACATGTTAAAGAACATGAACACTCACCGCTACCGTCACCTCATGTCTATTAATGTGAGCTGACTTCTATCCTTTACATATTTATCCCTTTATTTCTGTAGAGATTTGATTCATTATCTCAGAATTATTTTTCCCCTCTACTTTATTTCCAAGATGTCCATTTTCTGTATTTTTTTTTTCTTCATGTAGGCTGAGCATCGCCTGCTGCTAACAGGAACTCCTCTACAGAACAACCTCCTGGAGCTGATGTCTCTCCTGAACTTCATCATGCCTTCAATGTTCTCCAGCTCCACGATACAACTTTCTAAAATGTTTTCCATGGTGGGTTTGGTTTCTTTGGACTTCTGTCTTCACTCAGACCGAATGACGCCAAATACTGTAAACTCAAAGAGGATGCAGGCTCAAACATACTTGATTGAAAAACTGGAATCAAATACTCTTAAGTACATGTTACCACAAGAGTAGCAGTACCACGTGTTTAAGTGTCACAGAAATGGTAACTTCTTTTGTTGTCAGAAATCTCACGAGGAACAAAGCAGTTTTGAGAGGGATCGTATCTCTCAGGCCAAACTTATCATGAAGCCGTTTATTCTGCGGCGAGTCAAGAGTGAGGTGAGTCGATCTTTGGAAATGGGAAAGTTATTTGACTTTTAGACATTGATTGTATTTCATTGTGCTTTGTTTCAATCACTAAATATTAGTACTTTAAGCCAAATAGTCGGAGTTATTCATCAATGCTTCTTTTTAAAGGTCACAACTAGGGTTGTCACGGTGTGAAAATGTAACCTCTCAGTTATTGTGACCTAAATTATCACGGTTTTCGGTATTATCGCTGTATTTTTTTTTTAACGTGTTGCATTTCAAGACAACTAAATAAACCCTGTATATCAGGGAAATATTGTACTGTTTGTGTCTAAATTTAGCCTAAAATTAGTTATTTTGTAATTATGTTGTTTATTTGTTTACATTTTTCCCCTTTGGTCTTTAAAATACAATATTTGCCGATAACTTCTTATTTTTTGTCTGTTTGATGTCATCATTTTAAAAATATTAGATCAGATGATACTCAGTACTCAAGTAGCCTTCTAATCAGATACTTTTTTACCCGTATTTGAGTAATAAACCCTATATCAGGAAAATATTGTCCTCGGTTTGTGTCCTTCCAGTGAGCTTTGCAGATTTGGGAAAATGTCATCAGGCAGTAATCATTGTTAAATTCATAATTATTCTCGGAGAGAGACCAACTCTTATCTGCCCCTGGGAGCCCCGTAATGCATAGCGTCATTTCAACATGGGGGTGTCCGCGACACGGTTTATATGCAGGTAGCGGCGCTGCGGCTGCTTTATTTAGCGACTCGTTGCATTCTCCCTCAACCCAAATCCTCGGATCACGCATTTTAGCTAAAACGCTAACGTTAGCTTGCCTTGCGTTGACTGTAGAGTTGTGGGTGATGGTCACGCAGATGTGTCATGAGATTTGAAGAGTTGCTGCCTTTCACAGACACTTTTTCTGCACGTGCTGCAAACAGGATAGCCGTCCGTCTTCTATAAACTCCCTCAGCATTCTTCAAATATCTAAAAGATGCCCGTACTTCCCACTTTGTCTTCTTTGAGGGATAAAAAATGTCCTCCTGAGCGCTGCCGTCTCCTCCTTTGGCCAGTATTTCAGCTTTAGCTTCAAGAAAGTTTTGGTTGTAAACAACAAAGTGCTCATGTGCCGCCGGCAACTTCAGCAGATGATACGGTGGCTGGTAAGGGTCACCGCGCCTACACCGCAGCCACGGTAAACCCACCGAGATAATATAGTTTTTTTTTTTAAAAACAAGACGGTTATTATTATTGTCAACTTTTTTACCGGGGTTTACCGCTACACCGGTTACCGTGACAACCCTAGTCACGACAAATTTATTCTCTGGGATCCGCTTTACTGAAGAATGTTCACGGGCTCTTTTGGTCTTTAGGCTTGTTTTTAATTCTAATAAAAACAGTTTTCTGACTTTTCCCAGGTTCTCAAGCAGCTTCCATCTAAAGAAGAAATGGTGGAGTTCTGCCCGATGAGTGAGAAACAGAAGGCTCTCTACGAGGCCCTGCTGAAAAAACTTAAAAGTACCACAAACGGAGAGAGTAAGACTCATTTTATTGCTGTCCTGAGTCTTCCACGTTGTGATTGATGGTGTTAAACATTATTTTGTGTTTGTCTTCAGAGCGGGAGCTGTGTAATGTAATGATGCAGCTGAGGAAGATGGCCAACCATCCTCTTCTCCATAGACAGTACTACACCACAGAAAAGCTCCAAGCCATGAGCAAACTTATGCTTAAGGTCCATCCTACTACCAAATCTCCATGTCCCCCCCCCCTTGTTCATGTTTTGTTCCTCATGTTAATTGCTTCTTTCCTTCCTTAGGAACCAACACACATTGATGCCAACGCCGCTCTGATCCAGGAAGACATGGAGGTGATGTCAGACTTTGAACTGCATCGTCTGTGTCAGCAGTACTTCTCCATCAGCTCCTACCAGCTTGATAAAAATCTTCTGCTCGACTCTGGGAAATTCCTCCACCTGAAAGAGCTGCTAGCCTCACTAAAAAGCCGGGTCAGAACATGCGTGCTAAACAGCCTTTGTGAATAATAAAGCACGTGTTTATTACTTCTTAGCACAGGTTATTAACATTTCTGTCCTCCTCAGGGAGACAGAGTGGTGTTATTCAGTCAGTTTACCATGATGCTGGACATTGTGGAGGTGCTGCTGAAGCACCTCGATCACCGTTACGTCAGACTGGATGGATCCACGCCCATAGCTGAACGGTAAGGCACTTGTCACAATTCAAGTTAAATAAAAACAAAAATTGCTAAACTAGAATCAGAATTCACCCTCACCTCACCGTTTGTGCCGTCTTCCTTTTTGTAGGATAGTGTTGATAGATGAGTACAACACTGACCCAGACATATTCCTGTTCCTGTTATCAACACGTGCCGGTGGGCTGGGCATCAACCTCACCTCGGCTAACGTCGTCATCCTGCATGACATCGACTGTAATCCCTACAACGACAAGCAGGCAGAGGACCGATGCCACCGTGTGGGCCAGACCAGGTGAGGTGGCATCGAAATGTAGTCATTTTAATTTAGCGTAATCCTCTTTTTGGGATAATAGATCGGCTTTAACATGGTGAGCTACATATGGAGTTAGGGATGTGTACCGAATTCGGTACTTTTTAAGGTACCGACCGAATTCCATAGTACAGACCGAGCACCGATTCACGTCATTTGAAACAGTGCCTCGTTTCGGTACCCGTCCTTCACAACGAGTACTTGCCTAGACAGCTGCGCATGCGCAAGAGTGTTACGGCGTCGGTAGCTGCGAGCGAGTTGTAAACAGAGCAGCGTGGTAGAAAGAACGCACGCTAAAGCTTGGGTCCACTTCACTAAATGTGATGGGTAACTGGGTGATGATGAAACCAGCGACAACGATCTAAGTGAGACATTCTCATCTTAATCTGCTCCGGTAGGTAAATAAAATGTTTAAGATAACGTTAGCTTGATACTTTAGCTTCCGTTTCGCTAATGGTGCGTTCCCTTTCTCCTCGGAACTCTGAAATTCCGACTAGAAGGACATGAACGCGCTCTAAAGTTTGGCTTCACTTTACTAAATGCGACGGGTGATTGGGTGAAGATGAAACCAGCGACAACGATCTAAGTGTGAGGCATCATCGTTTTAATCTGCTCCAGCAGTTAAATAAACTGTTTAAGATAACGTTAGCTTGGTATGTTAGCTTCCTATGCCGCCATTGTGATCAGCTAATGGTGCGTTCGCTTTCTCCTCGGAAATTCTAACTTCCCAGTAGGAAAAAAAAGACGGCAAAAGGAATGAAGATACACAGTAAATTTAGTTCACAGTAAAGATGTTTGCTTCAGTTTAATTATCAGCTTATAAAACTACAAGGATGATGTTAAAATACAAACAGTTGTATGTTATTTATCGTGAAATTTGTCAAATATTGTTATATATTGAGAAAAATATATATTTAATTATGAAAGAAAATTAAAAATATTAAACACTCAAAAGTATCGAAAATTGGTACCGTTAAGTACCGGTATCGATTTGTAGGTACCGGGAATTAGTACCGGATCGATTCAAATGTCAAAGGTACCCATCCCTATGAGTGTGACGGGATTTAAAAGTTAAAACTGGAATTTATGGAATGCTTTAAGCAGGAGAAAAATCCACTTAAACAAGCTGCCCGTTTTAAGGGTTCGATGTAGTTGGTAACACACCTCTCTGTGTGTGCCAGGACCGTAAAGGTGATTAAGCTGATCAGTCAGGGCAGCATCGAGGACGGCATCCTGCAGCTCGGCAACAAGAAACTAAAGCTTGAACAGGACATGACCGCTGCTGACCAAGGTAAGGGATCGTCTACAGGTGTGTGGGGAAACCGTGAAAGGGATACTTTGCAGTTTTGGCTTGCTTTTAGCACCCCCAAATGAGTGATTTTCATTATTTGTCTGTTAGAATCATCAAAATTAAAGAAATCAACACTTGAAATACATCAGTCTGTGTTTAATGAATAATCTAACATACAAGTTTCACTTTTTGAATGGAATTACTGAAAACAATCTACTTTGTCGTGGTATTCTCATTTTATGACCAACACCTGTATGTCATTACTGCACGTGCTTCAAAATTTATCGCGATGTAGATTTTAGGCCATATCACGTATTACTAGAATAAACATGGATATGTTGAATAAAATCAAAGAATAGTACAAAAAAGTCCCGTTTTAAAGTATATGTATATTTTTATTTAAGTGCAAGTTAATCAAATTTAAAGCATTTCACAATGGAGGACGATTTTCTGTGACAATTTAGAGCATTTGACATGATAATCAGTTTGTTACTGGTTTGTTAATGAATTGTTCTTTAGGTGGTGAAGGGACCGTACCTGAAGACATAGCGTCTTTGCTCAAAGCCTCCCTGGGACTGTGACACACAAACACATCAGACTTGAAACTGAGCAAATGCATTTTTGAAGACCTTGGGATTGGATAACGGTAGTCTTTTTACAAACGCTGCCTTGAAAAAGACTTGGTTGCACGGTAAATGTTTCTAAAGATTTACCCTCCACATGAAGGAACGTTCATCCTACGAGTTCATGTGGCCTAGGTTCATTATGACTGAATGAGATATGGTTACTTAATAAAAAGACTACCGATAAAATAAAAAAATAGATGCCATCAAGGGATTGTCCCTTTTTAATATCCATGAACTTTGTACGTACTCACACGTTCGCAACGGTGCTAAAATACTGGTAACGTGTTTGATTTTGTTTATTTCTAAACAATTTTCCAAAGTTAAAGCTGTATCAACATTTCCGTGTTGTGTATTTGCATTTTTGTCACGAGATTCAGCCTGTGAATTTAACAACCTTTAACAGGAAACACCACTTCATATTTTGTAATGTACAACATTCAGTTTTAATATTGATGAATTTAACAATATTTAAAAAATGGGAGGAATAGAAAACGTCCATCTGGAATGAGTTTATCCTAAACAAACCAAGAGATGCAGGCCATGTTCCAACGCCACCTGATGTGTTCATGATGTAGATGAGTGGCCTATTGGCTGTAACTTTACATGTTACTGCTTAAGGTTTTGTTATGTTCTTTGTATGTTTTCAGGTTTGTGTTTTAACCAATAATAAACATTTGAAATATTTGTATTTGTTTTTCAGTCATTAAACATTAGCATATGCTTTTTTTGGTACCGATACGATATAAAACTTTTAACAAAGGCCGATAGCCGATATAATGGCTGATATATCTCCCTCACAAAATAAAAATAAAAATTTTCTTATGCTTAAACCCTTCATTCTCCTCCTTCTTGATGCAAACTTATTCCTCTATTACACACCAAAGAACTGTCTCAGTAACTCACTCGGGTTTCCAAGTAATGCAAATAAGATTTATTTAGCAGATCTCAAAAACAACAGAACACACAAACTCAGTCACCGCATAAATCTAACATTCAAGTGTTTTCTTGTAAACTGTGGTTTCCACAAATACATTTTAACTTTAAGGAATATTCCACCACTCAGTAGAGTTGTGCCTTAAGATTCCCCAGAGTTAGACAAGTCAGAAAAAGCATTTTATAACCAGCCCAATATGACCTGGCAGCAGTTGGTTGTCTTAGTTTAGCATAAACAATGTAAGTGAATTCACATATATTGTAGTGTTTTTTATGTAGGTGAATGCAAGCCTTCCCTTCTATTGCTTTATGCTAAAACAACTGGTTACAAAATGTTGTTTCTGACTTTGCTAACTCTGGGCGATCTAACAAAACACACAAGTTTAGGGACAGAAGATCCCTATTAGAATATTAAAATAATAAAAATGCAGCAATAAATAAAACGTAATACTTGTGCTTTGTAACAAAGCAACACTCTGTGGAAGGTAACTTGGTGAACTTATTCACCCTGGACAGGAAATAATTGCACATAAGAAACATAAATAAGAATACATTTTAAAAAAAGTTCCAAAACAATAATTTGTGTTCAAAGTTCAAAGGAGTAGAGCCACACAACATGGGTTCATAAAGGTGGCGCCATCTGCTGGATAGGTAGCGCAATATTGGCCATATCGGCCATCTTTTTGGCCGATAGCTGATGCTGTTAATGACTCCAATATCGGCCGGCCGATATATCGGTCGGGCCCTACAGACATGGACAAAATTGTACCCTTTGGTTAATGAAAGAAAAACCCACAATGGTCACAGGAATAACTTGATTCTTGACAAAAAAAAAAAAGTAAAATTTCTATTAAATTTAACCAATGAAAGTCAGACATTGCTTTTCAACTTTGCTTCAATGGAATGATTAAAAAAAATAAACTCATGGAACAGGCCTGGACAAAATGATGGTACCTCTAATGTCATATTTTGTGCAGTCACTGCTGTCAAATGATTTCTGTACCTGTTCGTGAGACTTCTGCACCTGTCAGCAGGTATTTTGGCTCACTTTTCTAAAGCAAACTGCTCCAGTTGTCTCAGGTTTGAAGGGCGCCTTTTCCAGACGGCATGTTTCAGTTCCTTCCAGCAATGCTCAATAGGATTGAGGTCCGGGCTCATAGAAGACCACTTTAGAATAGTCCAATGTCTACTTCACCAGTTCCGGAGACCCTCTTGGTGGATCCGAAGGTCAGAGAGGTCGGATGACCTCTGGCATCGAAGGGCTGTAGAATACCGTGGCACCGACTCTTCAGTCCAGAGATGTCTCGGGTCACGACAGACGGATGGAACCGCGCATCTCTGGTGGACTCTTAAGGAGTCTCAACAATATCAGCTTGTTTTGCAGGAACTGTTTGCTGTATCAGCTTCGCAGGTGCAACAAGATTTTGACGACGTTTCAAAAGCTTTAAAGGTTAAAGAGGGTTTTGCATCAGATGGCCGGTCTGAAGCGAACTGAACTGCTGAATCACCAGAGTGATCCAGTTTTAATGTTCTCATATTATGATTTGTGTAGCCAACCAGAGGTTGACAAGTTGAGGAATTACCAAGACAACTCAGAAACACGCCTTTCTTGATACTGGATGCTCTGATCTGGGGTGAAGGACTATCATTGTGTCATGAGTTTAACTTAACCTTACTTTGCCCTTGTGTGAGTGCAAATGGTGATGACCTTGTCATCTCAACGTGCTGAAACATATATCAATCTTTCAATGTAATCATAACATAACCTTCATTTCAATCATTGAGCACAGATTAATGAAAACATTTCATTATATTATAATTATTGTAAGTAGCAATAAACAAACATTTATTTAATGATTATCTCGCTTATAAGTTTTAGAAGTTCATATTTATTTAGGAAATCATTCTTTGATTTAGCAACTGATCCGGGCTGCAAGTGTTCACTTATTTGGAGCAGCATCAGAAGCAGGGACCTGAAAAGGCTCAACGGCCTAATAAAAAAGGCCGGTTCTGTTCTGGGGACGACTGTGGAACCGCTGGAGGAGATGATGCAAAGAAGGATTCTCCAGAGAATCAAGAAAATGATGGACAACCCTGAGCATTCTCTTCACAAGACTGTCCGACAACGGAAGAGTGTCTTCAGTCAGAGGCTTCTTCAGTTTCGCTGCAACACTGACCGCTACTGGAGATCCTTCCTGCCAACAGCCATTGTAATATACAATAACTCTTTGATGACTTGATTATTATTATTATTATTATTATTATTATGATCTACTGCAGCAATCAATTTCCCTCTGGGATTAATAAAGTATTTTTGAATTGAATTGAATTGAATGAAGAATCCTGTAGGACGATAAGGGAAACTTGGACCTTGAGGAGAAAACATTTTTGTTGACAATTCGTTATCTGTGTTCAGAGCTACAGAGAGGCTCTGAGCTCCAGCTGATGGGATGAAGGCAGGCTGATTTAAAGGGAACACATTTTTGACCAGATGTTGAATGGTCAAACAGTACCTAAAACTGACCGTTGCTGGACGCTACACTGGCACACCATTGGAGAACAAAATAAATGTATCTGCTCAACTCAGTGGTATGAGTGTCTGCCCTGAGACTGGGAGATCCACAGTTAGGTCATGCCAGACTTTAAAAAATGGGACCCAGTGCCTCCTCTCTTGACAGTTGGCATTAAGGGGTTTGATTGGGGGGGTTAAACCACCAAATGGTTCCCGAGCATGGCCGTGTCTGCAGTTCATTGCTCCCCTAGGGGATAGGGGAAATGTAGAGAACACATTTCACCACACACCAGCGTGTGTGACAACTAATGGGATTTTAATGTTTAATCACCATCAATATGTGTGTGAGTTCAGACTTCCTGGCAGAGAAGTATGAACCAGGTTAGCTTCACTTGCCCACTTATAGTAGTTGTTTGTGCAAAAGAGAGGTGGGATAGGGAAATGATGCAACCTTATCAACACCACCCCGCACCACACCATAGACCCAGATCCGATGGTTGTCTTTTTCCTATAAAAAGAAAGTGAAAGACTGTGAATGTGGTCTTATTGCCATGAGAGTTTGGCAGTGTTTTCATGTCTATGAATCATCACGAGGTTTCTTTACCAAGAAAACCCAGGGAATTTCCAGCGTATCTTTTTGAACGTGCACTTCTAAAACTCAAAAATACATTCATGAAAGTCTTGGTGGAAAATCCACACAGGCTGAACCAGTTGGGTGAGCAGCTTATAGGAACGAATCAGCTGGTTTGAAGAAAATAAAAGACAGACTGGTGTCTCAGTGGCGTCAGTGTGATCGTCAGAAATGAGGTCCTAATCAGCCTGTAACAAAGCAAATTTGTTGTTTTAATCAGTTGTCACATTTAAGTAAATCACTCAGCATTCATTTTTCTACCTTTTCTAATTGACAGCACATATTTTGATTATAGTTGATGAATTTAATTTTTAAATGCCTTTCTTTAGTTGTTTTTTTTTTTTCAAATTTATCGAACATATTTATGTATGCATGGATTATTCAGACTTTCTGACAAAACCTCTTATACTTGAAAATTAAGTTAAATATTTAAACAAGAATTATTTTACACAAAAATACAGGCAAAATTAGTTCATGCTCCAGTTTAGCAGTGTAAATAGCATTGAGGATTTTTCACGGTATGTAGAAGCAATAAGAACTTGTTATATCGAGCCATTACTAGACATGTACAAGTCCATTTGGTACTTTATCTGGTAGATTTGGTGAATATTATCTAGTACTTATTTCGCCAATTAAAAACTTTGCTACAGGCAGTCTTGCATTCTCTCTAAAATGCGAGTAAAGCTAGATGGCACACACATGATTGTGCAGATACTGCTCCTTTTATTTATCTTAACCTGAAAACTATAAACCTAAAGAAACATCTTTTTCTTTTCTGAAAATTATTAAAGTTGAATTTTAGTAACACAGTCAATCTTGACACTTTTCTCGTTACTGATCAGTGAGCCTTCAATAGAATATTGTAAAGGGATGATGTCATCAGAAAACACAAGGCGTAGGTACTTACATTCTTTAACATAGAATACACTACCAATAGTTCGCCTTTTGAATTCATTAGTTTTGCTCAGATAAAGACAAAATTTATTTTGTTAGGAAATAGAATCTATTAAGAAATTGCATTATGCAGCCACACCATATAAATGGTGCATGCGTATCGGCTGTCTTCTCAAATCCCCAGTGAGTTGCGGCGGATGGCTCAGGCCCTCTGATGTGGGCTGTTTGGTCCCTGTATGACCGGCGGTGTCAGAGCTCGGTCCGCATTGCCGGCAGTAAGTCGGGCTCGTTCCCAGTGAGAGTTGGACTCCACCAAGGCTGCCCACTGATTCTGTTCAAAACCTTTATGGACAGGATTTCTAGGCGCAGCCAAGGTGTGGAGGGCATCCGTTGTTGTGGCCTGAGGATCAGGTCTCTGCTTTTTGCAGATGATGTTGTCCTGTTGGCTTCATCAGAACGGGATCTTCAGCTTTTGCTGGAGCGGTTCGCAGCCGAGTGTGAAGCAGCTGGGATGAGAATCAGCTCCTCTAAATCTGAGACCATGGTCTTGATTCGGAAAAGGGTAGAATGCCTTCTCCGGGTCAGGGATGAGGTCCTGCCTCAAGTGGAGGAGTTTTAGTATCTCGGGGTCTTGTTCACGAGTGAGGAAAAACTGGAGCGTGAGATCGATAGGCGGATTGGTGCTGCATCTGCAGTGATGCGGGCGTTGTACCGGTCTGTCATGGTGAAGAGAGAGCTGAGTCAGAAGGGCGAAGCTCTTGATTTATTGGTCTATCTATGTTCCTACCCTCACCTATGGTCATGAGCTGTTGAGGTGGCTCGGGCATCTGGTCAGGATGCCTCCTGGACACCTCCCTGATGAGGTTTTCTGGGCATGTCCAACCGGGAGGAGGCCTAAAGGTAGACCCAGGACATGGTGGAGGGACTATGTTTCTCACCTGGCCAGGGAACGCTTTGGGATTTCCTTGGAGGAGCTGGCCCAAGTGGCTGGGGAGAGGGACGTCTGGGCCTCTCGACTTAAGCTGCTGCCCCTGTGACCTGACTCCGGATAAGTGGATGAAAATGGATGGATGGATGACTGAGAACCTTCACCAGCATATTCTAGTAAAACCAATTGATAATTAATTTAAAAGCTATGCCTGATTAAATGGCACTTACCACATTAAAATTCAAATGTCGTCGTCGTCGTCTTCCTCCGCTTATCCGGGTCCGGGTCGCGGGGGCAGCATCCCAACTAGGGAGCTCCAGGCCGTCCTCTCCCCGGCCTTGTCCACCAGCTCCTCCGGCAGGACCCCAAGGCGTTCCCGGACCAGATTGGAGATGTAACTTCTCCAACGTGTCCTGGGTCGACCCGGGGGCCTTCTGCCGGCAGGACATGCCCGAAACACCTCCCCGGGGAGGCGTCCAGGAGGCATCCTGACCAGATGCCCAAACCACCTCAACTGGCTCCTTTCGATCCGGAGGAGCAGCGGTTCTACTCCGAGTCCCTCCCGAATGTCCGAGCTCCTCACCCTATCTCTAAGGCTGAGCCCGGCCACCCTACGGAGGAAACTCATTTCGGCCGCTTGTATCCGCGATCTCGTTCTTTCGGTCATTACCCAAAGCTCATGACCATAGGTGAGGATTGGGACGTAGATCGACCGGTAAATCGAGAGCCTGGCTTTCTGGCTCAGCTCCCTCTTCCCCACGACAGATCGGCTCAGCGTCCGCATCACTGCAGATGCCGAACCAATCCGCCTGTCGATCTCCCGATCCCTCCTACCCTCACTCGTGAACAAGACCCCGAGATACTTAAACTCCTCCACTTGAGGTAGGACCTCTCCCCCGACCCGGAGGTGGCAAGCCACCCTTTTCCGGTCGAGAACCATGGTCTCAGATTTGGAGGTGCTGATCCTCATCCCAGCCGCTTCACATTCGGCCGCGAACCTACCCAGCAAGAGCTGAAGGTCAGAGCTGGATGAAGCTAGGAGGACCACATCATCCGCAAAAAGCAGAGACGAGATTCTCCTGCCACCAAACTCGACACACTCCACACCACGGCTGCGTCTAGAAATTCTGTCCATAAAAGTGATGAACAGAACCGGTGACAAAGGGCAGCCCTGGCGGAGTCCAACCCTCACTGGGAACAGGTCCGACTTACTACCGGCTATGCGGACCAAACTCACGCTCCTCTGGTAAAGGGACTGAATGGCCCTTAACAGAAAGCCACCCACCCCATACTCCTGGAGCGTCCCCCACAGGGTGCCCCTGGGGACACGGTCATAAGCCTTCTCCAAATCCACAAAGCACATGTGGATTGGTTGGGCAAACTCCCATGCCCCCTCCATCACCCTTGCAAGGGTATAGAGCTGGTCCACAGTTCCACGGCCAGGACGAAAACCACATTGCTCCTCCTCTATCTGAGATTCAACTATCGATCGGACCCTCCTCTCCAGTACCTTGGCGTAGACCTTTCCAGGGAGGCTGAGGAGTGTGATCCCCCTATAGTTGGAACACACCCTCAGGTCACCCTTCTTAAAGATGGGGACCACCACCCCGGTCTGCCACTCCCTAGGAACTGCCCCCGATGACCACGCAATGTTGTAGAGACGTGTCAACCATGACAGCCCTACAACATCCATAGCCTTGAGATACCCAGGACGAACCTCATCCGCCCCCGGGGCTCCGCCGCTGTGTAGTTGTTTGACTACCTCAGCAACTTCTGCCCCCGAGATCGGACAGTCCATCCCCAGGCCTCCCAGCTCTGGTTCCTCCTCGGAATGCGCATTGGTGGGATTGAGGAGCTCCTCAAAGTATTCCTTCCACCGTCCGACTATAGCCTCAGTTGACGTCAGCAGCTCCCCATCCCCACTGTAAACAGTGTGAGCGAGTTGCTGCCTTCCTCTCCTGAGGCGCCGGACAGTTTGCCAGAACCTCTTTGGAGCCGATCGATAGTCTTTCTCCATGGCCTCACCAAACTCCTCCCACGCCCGAGATTTTGCCTCGGCAACTGCCACTGCTGCACCCCGCTTGGCTATCCGGTACCTGTCTGCTGCCTCCGGAGACCCACAGACCAGCCACGCCCTGTAGGCCTCCTTCTTCAGCCTGACGGCTCCCCGAACCTCTGGTGTCCACCAGCGGGTACGGGGGTTGCCACCACGACTGGCACCGGCCACCTTACGACCACAGCTAGCAACAGCCGCCTCGACAATCGCAGAGTGGAACAAGGCCCACTCGGACTCAATGTCCCCCACTGCTCTCGGGACGTGGTCAAAGCTCTGCCGGAGGTGGGAGTTGAAGACTGTCTTGACAGGTTCTTCTGCCAGGCGTTCCCAGCAGACCCTCACTATGCGTTTGGGTCTGCCAGGTCTACGCGGCATGTTCCCTTGCCATCTGATCCAACTCACCACCAGGTGGTGATCAGTTGACAGCTCCGCCCCTCTCTTCACTCGGGTGTCCAAAACATACGGCCGCAGGTCAGATGATACGACTACAAAATCTATCATCAACCTGTGACCTAGGCTGCCCTGGTACCAAGTGTACCGGTGGGCATCCTTATGTTCGAACATGGTGTTCGTTATGGCCAAACTGCGGCTTGCACAGAAGTCCAATAACAAAACACCGCTCGAGTTCTGATCAGGTGGGCCGTTCCTCCCAATCACACCCCTCCAGGTCAAGCTGTCATTGCCCACGTGAGCATTGAAGTCCCCCAGCAGGACAATGGAGTCCCCTGATGGAGCACTATCTAGCACTCGTCCCAGGGACTCCAAAAAGGGTGGGTACTCTGAACTGATATTTGGCCCATAAGCACAAACAACAGTCAGGACCCGTTCCCCGACCCGAAGGCGCAAGGAAGCTACCCTCTTGTCCCCCGGGGTAAACCCCAACACACAGGCAGAGAGTCTCGGGGCTAACAAAAAGCCAACCCCAGCCCTCCGCCTCTCACCCGGATCAACTCCAGCAAAGTAGAGTGTCCAACCCCTCTCCAGGTCTCGGGTTCCAGAGCCAATGCAATGTGTCGAGGTGAGTCCGACTATATCTAGCCGGTACCGCTCAACCTCTGCCACAAGCTCCGGCTCCTTCCCCGCCAGCGAGGTGACGTTCCATGTCCCAAAAACTAGTTTTCTTGTCCGGGGATTGGACCGCCAAGGCTCCCGCCTTGGTCTGCCACCCGATTCACATTGCACCGGACCCTTCATGTTCCTCCTGCAGGTGGTGGGTCCACAGTTGGACGAGCCCATGTATCCGGTTCGGGCTGGGCCCGGCCGGGCCCCATGGGCGAAAGCCCGGCCACCAGGCGCTCGCTCACGGGCCCCAACCCCAGGCCTGGCTCCAGGGTGGGACCCCGGTAACCCTCCGGGCCGGGTACTCCGACTCTTCGTTTTCACCGCCATGAAAGATCCTTCGAACCGTTCTTTGTCTCACCCTTCACCTAAGACCAATTTGTCATGGGAGACCCTACCAGGGGCACTAAGTGCCCCAGACAACATAGCTCCTAGGATCATTAGGGCACTCAAACTCCTCCACCACGATAAGGTGACGGTTCAAGGAGGATTCTTCAAATGGATTCTTCAAAATAGCAAGTCTCATTTTTTTTCTGAAATCGGTGCACTTATATGCATCACAAAACAGTCTAGTTGGTAAGATCATTGGTTTATTGTTACAAAAATTTACAAAAGCAGGTAATTGGGAATGCGAAAATGTCTGCTTTATTTTATACAAAGATTAATATGTTCTCTAATACTGTCTACTTCATGTAAATTACAAAACATTTTTTGAAATACTTTTGAAATGACCTTTTCACTGATCATGGTAAAATGACATGAGGAAAAACTGAGAAGTCAATAACTTTTGTTTTCAGACGTTTTAATCTACTAGCCTAGTAATCTAGATGTAGCAGCAGCAAAATAATTAGCTCTGCATGTTCTTCTAGCTTCTTTCCATTAGCTCGGCTCAGTGTAGGCCGACCCAATCACAGCCCTTTATTGCCGCTTACACATTAGGGTCAGTACTGTTGGGGGAGGATCGTGTCCGTTCAGTCTCGTACAGGCAGTGTAGTGTTCACGTGCAATTCTGAAGGACTTCTCAGAAATGCGTCCAAGAGCCCGTGGGCAGCGTTTAAGATGCATGGGGAAGTCCGTGGTGTCTCCATAAAATGATAAACAAAGGTGGGCATAGAGACTCTGAACCACATTATTTTATTAATTTGCTGTGTGTGTCCTCATAAAACTCTTGTTCTCTGCTGCTGTGGGCCACACACACTCTGCTTTCTCCTCCCACTGAGCAGCTGTCTGCCGGCTCGCTGGGGCAAGAGCTCCGTGCAATTTGCTGCTCTGAGCGAGGACAGGGCCACACACACACACACACACACACACACACACAGCTCTCTCTCTTTTCCCATTCCCACTGAGCTGCAGCTCCTTGCTACAGACAGAGAAGTTGACTTAACAGCATCAAGCATGAAAATTTGCGCATGTGGGAACCTCCCACTGACTGATTCTACTTGCCAATTGGAGTTGGTAAGCATAATTTCAGCCAGCCAATCAGTCTGTAGTGTCACTTTGGTCACAGTCAGACCTCTGGGGAAGACGTCTGAAAAAAGTCACCTCAGAACGGAAAACTCATATGTGACCCATGTGTGAAATCAAATTCTGGTCCTGTACCCGACTGTACTGACCCTAATGTGTAAGCGCCATGTGTTTGTAGTTAGACATTGTGTGGGCTTGGCACTATTATGGCAGAGATTTTTATTTTTTTTTACAATGACAGCAGAGTTGCAACAGAGCCAAATAACGATTGGATCAGCTCAGGAATGGTGCTTGTTTGAAATTACTTTGGCGTCATCTTTGATCTGTTTAGACTTGGACTTTTCTTTGAGACGTGAGCAGATATAAGTACTTCTTTGACGGTGTATTGCAGACTGCCCCTTAGGCTGCTTTTTGTAGTGATAAATACATCATGTTGTTTGTTGCTCTGATTGATCCTAGCCTGGGTGCAAAAACTGTTAGGAAGATAACCGTAGATTTCATCCTTACAACTAAGCTCTGTCTATGGGTCGTGGCCAGACTACATATTTACATATAAAGCATGACTTAACAAGCTATCTACACTGATAAAATATGAAAGAAAATAATAAAAGTTTAGTGCAGTAGAACAAGACTGCTCAAACTTGCAGGAGAATTTTGACAATCCAGTTTACTCTGCATTTGGAGAATATCGTCCACACCTGAACCCTGTCAGATGGGCATCACATGTTACGGTGTAAGTGAAATAAAGAACTCCTTTACGTAGCTGACAGCTTAAAGAATGGGTCCCCTTCTCTGGATAAACAACACAAATCCCTGCTACATCATTATAAAGCACATCCCTGTCCCAGACTTCCAGCCTCAGGTCCTGACCCATCTCCACTGAACCAAAATCATACGTAGCGTTCCATACTGGGTCATTGTTGTCCATCACTGTTTCAGTCTCTTCGTAAATGCCGCCATAGAAGATCTTAACGTACGCGTCTGTTTTTGTGAAGGTGTCGGCCCTCAGCCCTGCTGCTCTGTGCATTTCCAGCCTCAGAGTTCCTCTGCTGGCTCTCAAAGGGCAGCAGTTGTGATCCACGTTGGGAGTCGGGGAGCAATTCTTCACACCGTGCTGTTCTTCCAACTGGTTCTCTTTGATGTAATCGGTGACCATGCTTCTCAGGTTAGCACTGATTTCTGTGTCCTCCACCAGATGGTGCAGTGGGAAGATGGCATAAGAAACCACGTCTGGGTTGTCGTGGAGGCTGTTTATCCAGCTGTGGTATGCTTCGGATGGATCTCGCTGGTAGAGGATGTCAGGGAAATACTTCTCCCCTCCAATGACCTCAATCTTATGTGTCATGAAGCCCTGGTAGAACCCCATGCTAAGATTCCCCTTCAGGAGGTTGTCACACTTGTTGGAGAAGGATGCATTGGCGGGGAGAAAACCCAGAGCCATGCGGAGTTCAAGATTCAGGCAGTTTTTGATTTCAGACTCTGAGAACCCCTTCAGAGTGGCCAAGCATGTCCTGAAGGCGGTGATTCGCCTCACTTTACCTCCAAGCTGGACCTAAAAAACAAAAGTAGCTCAGCAAAGATTTACGGCATCTTAAACGTTTTCAGCAGCAGGTCTTATAAGCTGCAACAGAAACTTGTGTGTATCCAGCTAGTTTCTCTGACCTGATGTATATAGTGTGTCCCGTAGGTGTCTATGAGCCGTCTGTACAGGGCTTTGTTCTGGACTGTGTCTAAACTCTGCGGGAGTCTCTTCAGATGCTTGGTGAACTCTGCACTCAGCTGGGGGTGGTCGGCCAGCCTGTAGCTACAAAAGCAAACACCACGGTTGCATAGCCTGGATTTTATTTGCAACAAAGACGGTTATTTCCTTAATGGAAAGATGTTGCAAAGTTTGCAAGCATGTAGACTTATTGTGATAACACATTCAGTGTTGATTTTGTTCTCTTCCTTTAAATCTTTGACCGAGTGATCTAGACCAAATTCTTGCTTTGCAAAGTTTAAATAATATAATTATTTACCGTATTTTCCGGACTATAAGCCGCTACTTTTTCCCACACTTTGAACCATGCGGCTTATAATGAGGTGCGGCTTTGGTAACCAGAACGGATGGATGCTGGAAAGTCTAATGAAGGAATGGTTAAAGGAGTGCTACGGAAAGCGCCCAGGAGGATTTTTTTTCACAGTAAAACGGCGCTGCTTGTTTTCCCAGCTTCACCCCGGGATGATGACAGCAACACAGAGAGCGACACTGACATCGCCACAGAAAAGGTATGTGACGAAGCTCTTCTGAGGCTGTTAATCTCCGACACTGAAGAAGATGACTTCAGTGGTTTCAGTGCGCAGGAGGACGATGAATAAACTAATCAATAACTTTTCTGTTTTGTTTGATACCGATCCGTTCAGTTACATTCAGTTAAACTACGTTTTCAATTCAGTAGATATCTGCGGCTTTTAGCCCGGTACGGCTTATATTGAGCTCCGGGAGTTGACGTCACTTCTCCCGGCATGCAACAGTTCAAATTGAAACGGCGCCATCTTGGCAGGCAGAAGCCCGCAGCTGGACTATTTGTTATTGTCAGAAAACTCAATCAAACGGTAAATATGGTAGATTCCTGTTGTGTCCCACGATGCCAGAGCAGACACGGACAACATAAGGAATGAGCCATCTACAGGATTCCCCAAGATCCGGAGCGCCGCAAACGTGTGATCATTGTAATAAAACACGCTAGTGACCGGGCTGAAATGAAACTGTGGGACCCCGAGAGTAAAGGTTTTCGCTTATGCAGCGACCGCTTCATATCAGGTACTTAAACCAACGTTTCCTCAACTGTATATGGTATTTATTTTAAATGCTTTTATTACGATTCTTAGTGGGCTTCCTAAACTTATTTTGGCGTGGCTTTTTCTGTCTTGTTACTCATAGCAACAAGTAAACGTCACGTAACACGTTGCCTCGTGATTTCTGCGTGCTGCCGTTTACGTGTTTTATGATGACAGCAATTAACCGACTAAGCTGTATTTAATTTTAAGCAATGGTTGATCAATTGTCAGATCACACATAAAAAGCACTTTGGATTGCTATTATCTGTTTCACCGAGACAGATCTCAGACAGATCCTGAGACGCTCCAGCTTGGCATATTTATTTTATTCACGGAAAAAAAATCAGACTAGTGATTTCTCTTGGCGTTCAGTTTATACATTCAAACAGCACAGCACTCTATTTAAACTACTTACATGTAAATCTATGTTATTTGTCCATCCATCCATTTTCATCCGCTTATCCGGAGTCGGGTTGCGGGGGCAGTAGCCTAAGTCGAGAGGCCCAGACTTCCCTCCCCCCAGCCACTTAGGCCAGCTCCTCCGGGGGAATCCCAAGGGGTTCCCTGGCCGGGTCCGCTCCGACAGCTTCTGGTGTTTAAAAAAGTATCCCAGGGGCACGGTAAGGGTCGGAGATGTTCAGTCTATTTAGTTTCTGACTATATAAAACGATTCCTTCGGTTTTAATGTGTGAGGTAAACTCCGACGAAGTAAAATCCAAGCCGATTCCGTTCATTTTGTTTACCTTTGTTGCCTGCCAACATGGCGTCTACTATCTGAGAGTCACGTGATGTCCGGAGCTCTATAGTCCAGAAATTACGGTAGTCTGCTTTGCCAAGCTAAAAATAATCTTTGTTCTTGCAGCAATGTTTCTTTGTCTTTCTACATCTTTTTGTTGCCTTTCAAGGTAATTTCTTTAAAATGTTGTGCAATCTTTGTCCTGTATTTTATACTTTTTTGCACAGAAGGACCCCATGCATCCAACAATTTACCTGTAGTAGGAGCAGCTAATTTCATGAATGGCAAATGTAGCTTTGTCCACACTGTGCTGTGAGCGAGCAAACTTTGCCAAATCTGAGCGGCTTCCTCCAAGCACTGCCTGGCCGATCATGGAGAGGCTCAACCCCAAACCCCAGTTGTTGTTAACCAGTGAGTTGGAGCTGCGCAGCAGGGAGTCCACAGAGTGGTGGAGCGCACTGGAAAGCTGCTTACTGCAGCGGCTGAAGGGGCGCCAGTCAAGCACTGCGGCGGGGAGCCTCTGAATCTGAGGGGAGAAGAACAGCAATATTTAAGACAAGTACAGAGCAGCAGGATGGAATTATGGGAAATGAAGGGTTTGGAACTGGAGTGTAAACTGCATTGCATGAGGAGTGAAATGATAGATTCAAGCAGCAGGTTATACAGTTTTCACCTGTCCATTCTGGAATCTGTTTGGACACAGTGTGCAGGTGTGGTTGTCATCCAGATGAGCTTTGACGTTAATGACATACGCTCCAGTTCGACGCAGTCGCACTATATCAAACCCCTCCCCAGCCAAGTTGTGGCCTGGAACAAAAGGAGCCTTCTCACACTCTGGTCCGGTGCCAAGCCGACAGCCCAGGACCCTGTGGACCTCCAGTATTACTGGAAACATCAGTGTAAACAAGACAAAATTCCTCCATGGTGATCCTGCTGCTTCCATGGTTACCTGAATGAGTCAAAGCATTCAGGGTGAAAAAGAAACTCTTTCTCGCAAATAATTTAAATTCAAATGTGCAAGACTTTAATAATGGATGAGCTTATTTTGTTTTAAAACGGGTTTGCAGCTAAAAACATGCAGAAGAGACGCAACACCAGAGCAAATGCACTCTTACCTCTTACTGACCTATTTTTTATTTTGTCCACCAGATTTTCTCTCAGCAATCTTTCAAGCAGATGCTTTCTTTTCACATCCGTCTAATTGTCCATAGTCTTCCTCTTTACATTCCGCATCGACTGTAAAATGATGTAGGTGCAAAGTGACTGAAGCCTTGATGGAAATTAATTAATGGCTGAGGAGAGGTTTGGTTTTGCAGGCTGTGATGAAAGCCTGCTGGTTGCTCTCTTTGGTTTTTGTCCTCCGCCTTTAGAAGAGGAGGGAGTTTCCCTGTTTTGAGTCTTTGTCTGCGCAGTCCTCTCGCCCTTCCCTCTTTTATCTCCTTTTCCCCACGGCTTTGTAAATTTTCTCTGCACGAGTGGCTTTGTTTTAATGCTCAAGACCTAGTTCTGTAAATCCTACTCAGCACTGTACTTGATTTGTTTTTGCACGTGAGTGTGTGGGGGAGGGACGTTTTTGTGTAGGAGGTAAACACAGATCTGAGCTAGTTATTTTTTTTATGAGAGGTGTGTGTGTCTCTGTGTGCAGATGCCTGTGTGTGTACCGCATGGAGTTAAATGTGTCTGAGTTTATGTGAGTTTGTGTAACATCTGAGCTAGTCACGTTGAGTCCTGATGGGCTTTCATAAAATATATTAGGTCAGCTCTGACCATGTCTATTTATGGGTGTGTGTGTGTGTGTGTGTTAGTGGTGTGCACGTGCGTGTGTGTGTGGTTTTCCGGCTGAAGAAAAGTGCTTATCTGCTCTGTGTGCAAAAGGTTTATTTTAGCCACAGACAGACGTGTAGCTCCTTCTTGTTCTTATATTCAGAGAAACAATACATTTTTTAAGTGGTGTGATAGAAAGTTTGTGCTCAATGTTATAAGTTTCATTCATCTCTTGCTTCTTGCTCTTCTGTCATTTATTTCAGCAGAATCCATAACATACTTTTCATATTGTTACGTTTTCCTCATTTTACCAATTTCCAGACTGCAGTGTCATGTTTGGTCTACTCCAGTGGTACTCAACCTTTTTTCACTGATGTACCCCCGTGAAATATTTTTTTCAGCCAAGTACCCCTAATCAGAGCAAAAACATTTTTGGATGTAAAAAACAAAAGACCTTAAATAGAGCACGGTGCCTTCAGTGACTGATTTATTAAACTTTGAAACTGATCAACAAGTACAAAATTCAACCATTTGAAAAAAAAACTATTTTGAATATTTTAAATGTTAATACTCCATAACTAAATGTATTGGAAATATTTTTCATCACTAAAATGTGATTCTAATTAATTAATTGAAAACAGTCACCATAAAACTATTTAAAACCATAAGATTGCCCATTGAAAAATCCATAAATGTGCAAAACACTGCCCATTTTTTGTAGTATCTCTTGAACTATTTGGAAAAATATATATATAACTAGAAACATTTTTAAAAATATATCAAATACAGGCCAAAGAAATGATTAAGCTAATTATAATTAAAGACTTGTGCTCATAAAAACATATCAACATAAAGTGTTCTCTTTTGGGATCATAGTATATCTGTTCTCTTAAAGAAATCATCAACGTCATTTTAAATAACAACAATTGCTAAAAACAAATGTAAATCTCAAAATATATTTTTAAAAATCAAAAAGAAGACTGAAATCTTAACATTACGGCACTGAACGGAGTGTTTTTACAGACTTTTTAGTGAGACACTTGGGCTTGTGCTTCACTGAGGATCTTTTTCTTCCTTGGTGGCAGGGAGGCAACTGCTGAGATCAAGCTCTTTTTTAGACACAGTCTGCTTCTCTGATCAGTGTCGTTAGCTAATTTCTCCCCACCATGGACGTAATTTGGGAGGGGGGGGGGGGGGGCATGTCCCCCCCAACTTTTTCCAAAGTCAAGTTTTGACCCCTGCACTTTTTACCATCCAAAACAATATTACGCTTTATTAAATTGACACTGGTTGAGCTCTAGGACCAAGCGGAAAACAACTGTTTGTGTTGAAGCCTGTTTCCCATTAGAGCATACTGTAAAGACCCCCCCCCCTCCCCCTCCCTCCCAAGTGAAAATTACATCCATGCTCAACCCACTTTCACATTCTTCTTTGTTGTTGTTGTTTTTTTTCCCCCTTCAAAGTCCAACAAGGACATTAGATATAGTTTGGGCTAGCGTCGTATGGAGTGTGGAGTGTTTGGCATCTATTCTGCACTATCCATCGGGGAATCTCCCGGTGGGGCACTCCCCACTAATTGAGAACCACTGCATTAGAGTATCTGAACATTATCCTGTACTTGGACACCATTTTCACTATTGATGCATGTGTCCTCACCTTGTAGGACACCTTTAAGTAAAAAACAAAACTACTAAACTAACTAAAAAACTCAAAAATGTTGTAATGTTTTCATAATAAAGTAATATACATTTTTACTACAATGCTCTTATCCCAGCAAGGTTGTTGGTTCCAATCCCAGCTTCAGCCTTTCTGTGTGGCGTTTATATTTACTCCCCAGTGGGTTTTTCCCAGGATCTTTAATTTCTTCCTACAGGCCAAAAACATTATGGCATTGTTTGTGTCCATGTGACCTGCTGAATATGTCCAGGGTGTCCTCCGCTTCTCGCCCGAAGATGGCTGAAGTACCAGCTTCCTGCCACCCTACTCGGTAATACTCTTTCAAAGGATTGATTATCTTTATCCATACTGCCCAAAATGTTCTTAAAGGACTAATGAAATGAATGATTTGTAATCTAACTGATTATATATCAAATAAAAGCTAAGTTAAATTAAAAAGTAAAACAACACTTTAATTCTGTTATACAGTGTAGTTTCAGTGATACGTGGTTAAAAGTTTTATTTTCAAAGTGACATTGGCTAAGTAAAGGAACTGCACAGAATAATAGGTTATTATTTTATCCACTGAAATTTACATGAAAAATATATAAATCTCCCATTAATACGCAGCTTATCTATCTATTTAAAATCATGCACATTTTTTAATTCACATAATAGGAAAGCTCTGCAAGAATCTGTCCAAAGCCTTGTAGAAGAAAAAAAGGTCTTTTCTATAGCGTCTCTCAAGATAAAAATCACGAGGCACTTCACAAAAAAATTAAAATATAAAAAAGAATTTAGAAAATGATTAAAAAATATATTTTGAATGAGCTAAAATTAAACAATTGTGATTGCAATTGTAAAGAAAGAGAGAGAGAGTGAACAGGAAAGAGGGAAATCTGTGGATCCTGAGGAAGGTGGAATAGGTGGGGAGAGCAGAACAAGGAGAGGATGATGAAGGTCACACCAAAACCAGCTTGAACAGGTGAGTTTTCAGCTGCTTTTTAAAGGAGACCACTGAGTCCACTGATCTCAGGCTCAGGGGGAGAGAGTTCCAGAGTCTGGGGGCCACAGCAGCAAATGATCTGTCACCTTTGGTCTTTAGCCTGTTGCTGCACAACCAGTAGGCTTTGATCACTGGACCTCAGGGACCTGCTGGGGGTGTAGGGACTAAGAAAATCACCAATGTACGATGGTGCTTGTCCATGTAAGGCCCTATAGACCAGAACCAGGATCTTGAAATGAACCCTGAAGTTGACTGGCAGCCAGTGAAGCTGGAGGAGAAGCAGGGCGATGTTGGTGTGTTTGGACTACCATAACATAAAAACACATTCAAAGCATCCTAGAAAAGATTTCAATGTCCTCAAGTTTATGTGAAGACCTCTCTTTAACAACCCATGAACATAAAAGCTGCATAACAAAAGGCTGTGCTTCTTTAAGGGATTCACCCTGTGTGGTGATCTTGTCAGCTGTGAAATGAGATAGTTCATGTTCCTGTTTGGTTGTCAAAATCTAAAATCTTCCTTGCTTCAAATGTTGAATGAAACATGCTTGTTCTTTTATTTAAATATTACATCTGGTTCAAGATTATTGTTTTGGTGCAATATTGTTATGGTTAGTGAGATGAATGAGTACAATATATGTAACAACTTATTTCATTAATATTAACGTTTAGCCCCAATGGCAACTATTGTTGCCAAAGGGTATCACTGTCATTTTTGACTCACAATAAAATATTCCAGTGTTACTAATCCAACATTTTCCACTTATTTGCTAGTAAACAACTTAGACAAAAGTTTTGTTTAAAAAAATGTTTCCAAGTGCTTCCTAGCATATGACATCGTCTGCTTCCTGCTCCTTCCCGCTGAAGACATAGTGACTGCAAATCATTCTGGAAACAGGTAATTTTTAGAAATTTCTGATGAACTGCTCAAAACATATTTGTAATAATTTGCTCATTCAAGTCTCTAGAGTAACCCTCCATCCAAAAATTATACCAAAGATAAATACTTTTTCTTAATAGGCTTATTTCTGTGAGTGGCAACAATAGTTGCCAGTGGGCACAAAGCATGTCGCTAACTAAAAGAAACACACTCTGCAGGATCGCTCATAATTTACTTATTTAAAATATTAGAATGATGTACAATGGCTGATTTTAGTCCTCTTAGAATACTTTTCCAAGCTAAATAACTTCACAGGTATTCAAGGCCTGTGTGTATAGGATTTTTACACGTTACCATACATCATTTTCTTGCTAGCAAACATTAGCTTGTGCCTCACAGTGTAATGTTAGCTAGCTAGTAAAAAAAGCTAGTGAAGATGTTGATGTGCAGCTAGGGGTGCACTTTTCTTTGCACACAAGAGCTTACATAACCAGTACACACACCTATGCACCCCCCCATGGTTGTTGAAGAGAGTGTGTTTATTAAAGGACAGACTTTGTGGGATTCCCCAGAACCTGAGTGGCTGTGACTTATTCACTGTCCGGTTCTGCACACCTCTGCTTGGAGATATTATTTAAAAAAACGTCTGTTTTTAAGCAGTTCCACATTCAATTTTTAATATGAAAGTACTCCTCAGAAGAGCTTAGACACAGCTTTTGCCTTTGTAATGACCAAACAAAGACACATTATAAGAAAGTTAATACTGTAAATTAATTATTCAGTATTTGGCATGAAGGCCTCATGAGGGCAGCATTAATTCCTTTTGCAGTTTTAAAATCACTTTCTGTTATTGAAGATGTAAATAACCTTATTTGAACACAGTAAATGACGCAAAGACTCGTGTACACGGACTGAAAATACCAATTATCAATCAATCAATCAATACTTTATTAATCCCAGAGGGAAATTAGAGTTTCAGTAAACACAATTCAGAGATCATACATACATGGGCAAGACACATGACAAGAACTGGTGACTGTGGTCATTCGCAACCCGAGTCGCGCTACCTTAATAGAGATAAGAGGATTGGTTCAGGTGGAGGGAAAAAAAGGCACTTCAGAGTTACCCTCCATAGGGAGGGCAGGGGTAGGTTGGGTTTTCACAGCATCTGTCTGCATTCCTTTGTGGGGGTTTTAGTTGCTTGCAGCTCAAGGCTACCAGGGCGTCAGATTCAGATAAAAAGAATTTGTTTGAGTCAAGCTGAGATAATTTTCCTCTCTGCCTTCAGTCTTTAAACTGATCATTTCCAGTCCTTCAGTGAAGCCAATTTTGAGTTTTTAAACCTCTCCATTCCGTCCGGTGACTCTCTCAGAGATGACATCCATTTTGCGCACTAATACCGGTATCGCAGCTAGTTAAACATTTTCAGACTTGTAATAAAAAGAAATGAAACTTTGAGATAAGCAAGAAACTACAATATAGAATACAGTCAGAGGTTTATCATTTTAGTTTTTATTGTTTTAAAAGTCGCCCTCTCAGACTGGTGAGTCCACATAGCCACTAACACTAGAACTCATCCTCCCACTTTTGAATGTAAACACCATCAGAAGAAGATCGCTTTAAGTGCTCAAAGAGTCTTTTCCCCTTTTGACATCTGATTCAGTTGTGGGTTTAGCTTTTGAACGTGTTGCTTGACTTGTTTATGCATATGCTCGTCCTTCAGTCATCATCATCACTGTCGTCATCGCTGTCGTGTTGGTAGCTTGTGTGCTGCTAAAAGGTGGTGTTGGAGTTTGGTTGGGCCAAATTTGGTACACGTTTGGCAGATCTCACCAAAATAAAATGTTATGGCTGGGTCTTAACAGTCTTTACCTTTACGGTTAAAAAATACATTTTTATCTATACTGTAAAAAGTGTTTGTGCAAAATTGATCTAAAATTAAAATTTTTTCTGGTGGAAGTTTAGGGGTAAAGAGATGTGGGTTCGTAAAAATGAGGGTTTGAAAGATCTAACCCCCTTTGTTCAATATAACTGATATGTGTCATCAGTTTCTTCTTTCAGAAGGGAACAAAGATGATGTTTTTCTTAGATAAAAGGAAATAGCAGTCTCATCGCATGTATGAAGTTTGAGTTTCCACTTCCTTCCAGCACTCAGGATACCCACAGAATCAGAATCATTGACATCATTGCCCAGTAGATGAGGAACTGACTCTGAAGGTGGGCGGGTTGAAAGGTTGACAGCCAAGTGTTTGTGAAGCACCAGCTGATGTGTAGAAAATGTATTTTTTATTATAGAATGTTTGACTCAAATACATAGAAACTGAGCCAGATTTCTAGTTTTGGTCTTACTTCACCTCTATTATTTCAACTTGAACTGTGTCCATTTTCCCCTTATTTTATGTCCTCATTAGGGTTCTTGTTTATTAGTTTATTCTTTGCTGATCTTTTCATTTTGTCTCTGAAGTTGGAAGAAAAACTCCACAACAGCATTCATGTTTAGAATTTATTGACCAGTGCATGTCAGTTTTTTTTCTAATTCATATTAGCATGATATTTTTTTAAATCACATTTTTATGCAAGTTAAGAATATGAAGAATTATATATATTTTTTTTATGCAAGACTTCTTTTTATCCTGAAAACCAGACTTGTCAAAATCGTGGAATATAAAACACAGATACACAAATCCAGTACATAAACTACAGTGCAGTTTGCATGTTGACCACATGAGGGCAGCAGTGGATGACTACAGGTAAACAGTTCTGCAGGAATCACTTTTGATGTAACGATCAGAAACTCGAAAAACAAAAATACAATAAGGTAAATTTTGTGCGTTTTAAAAGCAAAGTCATTATCCGATCTGAACAAAGAAGTGACCCCGTAAATGATTCAGATCTTTTTTACTCTCTTGCTGTTTTTTTTTGTCTTAAGGCTCATCCTGCTGAGTCTTGCTCTCAGCCTGTTCACTTAAATCCTCATAGCCACTAAATCTAGACACCCTCCTCTTCCTCCTAACCAGGAACACCACAATCACCACCAGAACCATCAGACCAATCACTCCAAATGCTACCCCTGCCTTTCCCCCACTTGTCATCTGATTTAGCTCTGGGTTGAACTTTTGAGCAAGTACCTTGATTTCCTCTGGCTTGGCAAGCTTCCATGCTTTTGTCTGCCCCACTCTGACCCAGCTCTTATCTCCTTCGGTCATCACCATCACCGTGTTGGTAGCTTGCATGCTCATGAGAGGAGGTTTGGTAAAAGGAGGAAGTCGGATTGGCAGCAGCTCGCCTCCTGTGAACAGTCCAGACTTAACACAGTAAAGAATTTCACAGCCATCACTGACTGTGGCGAGGTGCTGACTGAACTTGGGAGGACACATGTGTTGGTTCCTTGCCAGTGGGTTAGCAGCTTCACAACTGAAGAGACCTCCAAATGGTACGGCATATCTGGTACCCATCTCATAGTCGTTACTCATGCAGAGCATCTGGCCATCTGATAGAAATTTGACTGCAATAAAATTTGCAGGGCAACTTTTGGTGTTGGTGATGGGATTCCGGAGAGACGGACTGTAGATGCCTCCAAACCGATAACCCGAGTTATCAGGAGCTTTTCCATTCAGAGAGCACCAGTAGGTGTCGATACGAGCAGAACGAACATGATACACATCCTGGCAGTGTGTTGTGTAACAAGTATCTAACCACAAGAATCCGCATGAATGACTATCTGTGTAGCATTCATTTTGAGAATAGCCCTCCTGTCTCGTCTCTGATCGCAGTAAAGTTGGGGTGTAAGGACCACGACAAGTGAATTCACCAGTGTCTGGGTTTTTCTGGGCCAGTTTGTCACAAAGTGGACCTGCATCTGAGCTGAGTTTGCTACATGTTTGGTAGATCCCACCAAAACTAAGGTTTGTAGCCGGGCCCTCGCAGGAACTGTCATCAATGTTTGCCTGAAAGTTAAAGTTCTTGGAGCCGACGTCTACACACCCAGGGCGGGTGTTGATCTTGTAGTACCGCTCTATGGCCTGGCTTACTCGAACTGCGACTTTGCCCACTGTAGGTTCTGGTAGATCAGTCAAAGTGTTTTTGTTTATAAAATAGTGGAGAGGGAAACCTGAACGGTCAATAGCAACCAAGTTATTTCTGGTACTTTCCTGCCATTTTGGTAAAGTGATGCCAGGATAAAAAGGCACACCTCCATGACTCTGAATGAGTGAATAGATAATGTTGGACTGATACGTTTTAAGTTCTGTACTCTGTTGGCTGCTCTCACTGCTGATATCAAACTTGAGTTTGTCAAAAAAGTTGAACCCAGCCTGTGCTTTAACAGTTGAACTGTCTGATGCACTCTGAGACACGTACGAGGAGCGGAGGTAGTCTTCCTGCACCAGAGAGGCCCCAGCATCAACACTAGTGATGACATGAGTTCCATAGTCCAGCACCATCTTCTCTGCGAGATAGTCAGCGTTCCTCGTCTGATTGTTTTCTATTGCGTCTGCGATGTCTTTGACTTGCTGAGCAAAGCGTGAGTCCAGTACGAAGTCAGGGTAGGCCTTCACTGTGTACATAAAGTTCCGAACCTTTTAAAGAAAGGATCATACAATCATTATTATATTTCTCATTAACTGTATGTTACTCTCCTTTTAAAAACGTAACTAAAACATATATCCTTTTGCTCAAACCTGTTTACAATCATACAAGATTTTAAGGTAATAATGAGCATTTTGGATTGTATGTTTAAAAAAAATGGAAAAGAAACACAAACCAACCTGAACTCTGGTTGTAGTTGAAGAATCTTTGACCTGATGGGATTTCATTCTTGTGTTCTCAGTAGAAAATTTTCCATTCAGCACTTTCAAGAAGGAAATGTCAGCATTTATAGAGTGAGCTGTGGTGCTTTTCTGCTCCAGCCAGGAGCTGATGATCTCAGAGTTGGTCTCCACTCCTGTCTCCTTCTGAGGGATGACAAACACCTCATCTGGGATGAGGTAGAGTCCATCTTCAGTGGTTTGGCACTGGAAGTAGCTGAGGTTCATGACTCGACCCATGTCCATGTTTCGGAGATTGTCCCACCCTCCACCTGGAAGCACCTCCATTGCTGCGATGGAGAAGTTGGTGGAGGCACGGCATTGTCTGAGCCAGTTGGTCGGGCGGCTCAGAGGAGCTGAAGAGCAGGTTCTAAGGGTGTAAAGAGCAGCCAGGAGAGCCAGTACTGTCTTCATGGTGACTGTGTCAGAAAACACAACTGGGCTGGTTTAATATATAGTTCAAGTAAAGTCCTGCCTCCTCTTGTGTGAGTGAGGACAAACAGGAAAATCTTGTTTGGGTTGGCAAAAGTTTACTTTCACTTTTGTTTCTGATCCAGTGTTCTTAGTGTGGGGGTAGACACAACTTCTACTTGTATTTAACTTTCTTCTCTTCATTTAGCTCTGCCAAAAAGCTTTTTGATTGATGTATGTTTGATTTTTCTTTAAACTAACACAGCGGTCCTTGCTAGGGTCTGAGATTTATTTACAAGACCATCTTGACACAAAAGTCATTTCTTTTCTATGCAACATTAAAACATGTAAAACTCTGAGATAACTGTTAGATATGGTTCACTGTGAAACCATATTTTACTTATTATTTTTGAAAATAATCCGTCACTATGAGTTTTTCATGCTGTCATGACTCGAGGAAGGTGTTTAACCCAAGACATGCAGAATCGACTCAACGATTCTGGGTGAGTTAAAGAAAAGTTCTTTATTTAGAAACAGGAACAAAAGTAGCACTGGGAAGTCCAGTGGGGAATGAGCTGTTGTTGGGGTCCTGCCCTCATGAGAAAATTACTATGCAGTATTTTCTCCAAAGGACTGTGCATCTACGCACTGAAGCGTAGACAATATCAGCGCCAGCAGGGACTCCATGTCCCATGATCCTCTACAGCTGGCAGCAGCTTGATGATGTCATCAAGCGACGCCAAGTCTGACCAGCCGCTACAGAGATCGCCCGCGGGACGATTCTATAAAGCCGAGGCGCAGAGCTGAAATCGCTCTTCCCGTCCAGTCACCTGGAGTAAGGAGACCTTCGCCTCTGCTTCATGCCGCTCCGGACAGCCTGTGCACGAGGCCTAGCTGCTGATCAACGGACCAGCGCCATCTGATCCGCTCAGCCTGAGCACAGAGGGACACCTTCTGTTCGCTCATTCAAGATTTTTTTTTCCTTTTTCTCTCTCTCTTTCTCTCCCGCTTCTCTAATAGTCCGAAAAAGCGGTCGACCACGTGACCGCTTTAAAATAACAAACGGTTTCTCTCCGCCGTACTAAAAAAACGCCAACGGATCATCTCAGAGTAAGCCGTTTCTTTCATTGTTTAATATCTAAGTTTGTTTATGCTGTGGCCAGGCTGACATACTGTTTAGAGATGTGATTTACCTTCATGACTGATCTGTTGTTTTTTTCTTTGATCTTTGTGAAGCGATTTGAAGTGTTTTGACTAAGTTTACTGTGAACGTTTGCTCACACCCACTGATTGTGCGTGTTTGGGAAGACAAGCTGAACACACACACACACACACACACACACACACACACACACACACACACACACACACACACACACACACACACACACAGTTAGTTCCTTTGGTCAGCCAAACAAAGGATCCGCCATTTTGTTTTCAACATTCCCTCCAGTTTGATAATCAGCTATCTCTGCTGGATCACATTACCATCTCACCCCACCAGTCTGATTAGTTTGTTACTCCACATTATCATTCCATTGTTTCATTGCTTGTTGTCTGTTTTAAAAAAGCAGTTGTTGATATTGAATGGCTAATACTTTGAAGGAGCTAAGGTGATCATATTAGTCAATAAATGTTATTGTCAATTAAGTTTTGTCTCAAGAGAATTTGTCTGTGTGGATAGAATAGGACCGCTGCTCGTTAAAAGGATTTTACGAACTTTAGTAAGATTGATAGAGGTTTGGATTCATTTTTCCCCTATTAAAGGGGTGGTGCCCCGAGGATATCCACGGATATCCTAATTACATAATAAATCGTTAAATATTTCCATATTTACGAATTTTATTGATGACTCCAAAGAGTAAGTAAAGCTTACAAATTATTTGTTGGCTAATAACCACAACACTGTACAGCTCTTGTCCGTATAGCGTTCTGTGGTGAACGAGGAAGGTGGAGGCCAAGGTGAGCGCCGGTAAAGGATTGGCAAACTGGGGTGGGTGAGGCAGCGGAGAGGGTCCAGACAGGAACAACGGAGGAGGATGGGACGTGGTTCAGGTGATCCGGAGTTCTAGCAGCGAGGATGAAGAAGGGTGTGGAGTTGTCCTGGAAGAAGCAAACAAACACGAGTCTTGAGGGTAAACCAAAAAGCGTGATCCAAGACAGTCCAAGTTCAAAATCCAATAATCCAAAATGAGTCAAGCGAACAAATGAGCAAACAGATACAAGTGGCTGGGGCTACCTAAACTGGAGCAATCATCCGGCGTAGTGTGGTGTCTCCATCCTTCTTCTATACCCGACTTCCTGATTGGAAATTCTGTGCAGCTGCAGTCCCCTCTGCTCCTCACCTATGGGAAATTAGCTCGGAGATGGTTAGATGGAAGAGGAGCACTCACCTCGGCTCGAGGACATGACACATGCAGGCTGAACATGAAAATGGTCTCCTACCCCTATTTCCTGGAATAGTTTCTGATAGAAAATAGATGGAAAACTGCTCAGTTCAGAAAAGCTTGACAGAGCTATGTCACACTGTCAATTAACAACAACCATCATATAGGTCCCGAGCGCAGCCACTGCTGCAGCTCATCGCTCCCCACGGAGACGGGTCAAATAAACACATTCTCACATCCGAACTGTCGAAAAATGATGATGGGGACCAAGCGTTTGTTTCCGATGCATTGGGAGTCCGAACACGTCGGGAGGCGAAGCGCTGTGCCAGAGCGCTGGTTTCCGACTGCAGCGGTAAAACGCACATTTAACCAACATTTAACCTCTAACCTTTTGCCATTTAGCCTTCCCCTCACCCACACCCTAACCTTAAGCCAGTTTCTCATTCTAAACTTCCCATTAACCGTGTTGAAGGGGGCGTTACAACTAGAAAAGTTTTACATGCACAAGAGGGTTAAGGTTAGGATGGGGGTGTGGGTAAGAGGGTAAAGGTCACAATTCAGTGAAATTGGAAAATTACACTCTTGCATAGTGCATTGCCTCCCAACACACTGGGGTTCCCAATGCAAACAAGCAATGGAAACAAACGCCTGGTCACCCATCGTCATTTTTCGACGCTTTGGGTGTGAGAACGTGTTGGTCAAATCCGGAGATGAATTACACCAGTGTGTGAAGCCTAATGGGACTTTATTGTTCACCCATCTTGGCTCACGACGAGGAAGGCTGTTGTTTGTTTAGCATCCAGGAAACAGCAGAGAATTTTTTCGGCTAGGAGAAGCTAATCGTCAACGTTAGCAACTCCACCACACAGCAGAACTCCTCCAGGCTTGTGTTATTGTGGAGATAAAACATCAATGTTGCAAAGGAAAATAAGTCAGTGGTGGAGTCAAGTTGCTGTTAATTCATCAGAGGCGAGTGTCACGATGTAAGCCAGGAGGAGGTTCGGACCCGAGATGCAGAACCAGGATGACACAAGGCAGGAGTTGTAGAAAACACAAAATCCTTTATTGGGAATAATAGTCCAAAAGTAAAATCCAAAGGGGCAGGTAGCCAAATACCAAAAATCCAAAAATCCTAATGCGCAAACAAATACCATAGAGACCAAGAGAGGGAACCGGGACAACGCTGACACAAAAACAATGGACCAACAACACATTGAGACGCAGACAGGGTTATATACACAGAGGGAAACAATCAGGGAAACAGGTGACAGGTGTGTGGGGAGTGAGATCAGAAGGGATCAGGTGAGACTTATTAACTAAGTGGGGAAAACTGACAAGGTAAAATTAATCTACGGAGAACTAAAGATAAGTGAAGTCCTAAACCTGAAAACTAGACACCAGAAGTAAAACACTAACAGGGATGGGATAACTAAATCTGAAATCACTAAGGGGGAACCTGAGGGAAACCTGGAGGGAGCTGGAGACCTAAAGGGGCACAGAAACCTAAGGAGAACACCTTAGGGGAAAACCTGGAGTGGGCTGGGGAACACAAGGAGACACATAAGGGGAACCTAGAAAGGGCTGGAGAACACAAGGAGACACATGAGGGGGACGCAGAACATGACAGCGAGATGTCCAAATATCAGGAGATAATAAGAAACAATTATTTAAAAAGTGCCTCTCAAGGAAAAAATCATGAGGCGCTTCACAAGAACAAAAATTTTAAATAAAAATGATTTGAAAATATAAAAATTGAGATGTAAAACATTGTGATAAAAAATGTGAGGAAAGGGGAAAAAATGAATAAGAAAGAGGTAATCAGTGGATCCCGGGAAAGGCTGAATGAGGAGAAGGTAGTGATGAAGAATCAACCAAAGGTCACTCAAGAGCCAACCTGAACAAGTGAGTTTTCAGCTGCTTTTAAAGGAGACCACTGAGTCCACTGATCTCAGGCTCAGGAGGAGAGAGTTCCAGAGTCTGGGGGCCACAGCAGCAAATGATCTGTCACCTTTGGTCTTTAGCCTGGTGCTGCACAACCAGTAGTCTTTGATCACTGGACCTCAGGGACCTGCTGGGGGTGTAGGGACTAAGAAGATCACCAATGTAAGATGGTGCTTGTCCATGTAACCCCGGGTTTCCACGGGAGCCGTCAGCAGCACGTCTTGCTCGCGTAAGCTGCTGCTTGGCCCTTCCCACAAGACGCGAAGCAGCAGGGGAGCAGCTGTCACCGACCGAGCACGAAGTCACACGAGTGACTTCGTCAGTAAACACAACAACAAGCAGGAGAAAATTACAACATGGTTTGTGTTTTATGTTCTGTCTGTTTTATAATCGCCAATACGGACGTGAAAAGCAAAGGAGACCGCTAGCTAGGTGATGACTTCTCACGGGGCCGCACAGTTAGTAACCTTTTTTAAAAGTAAAGCAACCGGAAGGCAGTACGTTCTTTATTCTGAAAATCTCGGGAGCTTCTCTACATTTCCGCGTCCGATTTTCTGTCTTTCCTTCCCTAAAAATGTCGAACTTGACCCGTTTCAGAGGCGTCGCACGTAGAAAATAGAACCGGCGCGTAAAGGCCGCGACATGCTGCTCCTGAGACGCGGCTGACTCGCGCTGCTTACGGCTGCTGACGGCTCCTGTGGAAAAGGTTCTGTTGACCACAGCGGTTCCTATCAGCAGCAATGACGTGCTG